CACGCATCTTCTAGATCATTGGTATACACAGGCGGTTTCCGCGAAGCGGGCTATTTCGTTAACGGACTACCAGGACGGAGCTCTCAGCTTTCAACGACGGGAAAGTTGGCGATATTCGTGGCGGGTCATCTGTCCAGTTCCTAACCTTGCCCGACACGGCTTAACTTGAGGGGTGCTAGGCTCAACTTCACCGAGTTTCACGAGTTTGAGATATGTAATTCTAGTTAGTATTTACCAAACAGGCAATACTTACACAGAAGTAGCAGAAATCATGTTTGTAACAAGCGGGAGTAAAAGTATTTTTGTAGGGAGCCCATAAGCCTGCAGGAACACTGCAGCCATTGTTTTTTTTGTACAGCCAGTTGAAGACACCTTGGACTCATTTCCTGAGACAAGGATAACGCCAGTAAAAGTGAGCCAAAAAAGAGCAGAACAATCTGTGCCATAGCAGAGGCCTGAAAGAAGAACAAAATAATGACATCTTGGTAGCCTTCGTAGCAGACCCATGAATGTCATTTGGGCCCAAGTGAAAGAGGCGCGCGAGAAAGACACGCGAGGGGAGAGGGCATGTCTTCCTCGTTCGCTCTGTTCTTTTATTGCTCCTATATTTCATGCTATACAGTCCAATGTCTTGGTAATTGTTGATCATTTTAAGGTTTATGCCTTTTCGGTCCTGAAAGCTATCAAGTACAGTTGTAGCATAAATTTTACTTTTTCAGCCCATAAGGTGGCCATAGTCAAATTGAGAGCTCACTTTGGTAACCAACATATTAGCCTGCTAGCAAGCTCTTTATTTATGGTCAGAACACGCGCGGCTGAGCGGCGAAGGTTTGCGGGGTGGAAATGAAAATTTGTGAGAGATCGTTGCAAGCTCTCTCTTTCTTTCCCCGCCCCTCGTACTCTACCCAGAGTGCCAGAGAACTTTTCTAGCGCGGTTTCCGGCTTAAATCAAGTCTTTCTCGCGGCTTCGGCCTACCACCGAAGATGTGTTGGCCTTCAGCCAACAACGAAAATTTCCGCCGCACGCGAGAAAAAGAAATCTGGTACCCAGGATACTCGTACCCGCGTCTCCTTTTGCGTGCTGGTCTCACGTGACCTCTCGCGACTCCCCCAAATAATGGGAGCTTGTTCGCAGGCTACATGGGCTCCAGCTAATTATCAGTAAATGGTTCCAACATTAAGTCTCTTGAGGTTAAAACATAAGGACCGTACGCTTTGCTGCCCTAGAGAACTAATAACAGCTTAGAGAAGTGAGTACCCAACGGTCAAAGTTTTTCTGTCAGTTTGTATACGAATTTCCATGTTAAATACTCTTAGATTTAAAGTTGTATTGTTTCTTTAAAAATACCCATATATTAAGGCATAAAAAACAAACAAGGAAAGCCAACAGATATTTATATAAGGGAAGACGAATTGAGTTGTTTTCATAAAAGACAAGATCAGCCATGGTTCAGCTGGTCCGAGATTAATTTCGTGGTGGAGTGTTCAACATACACAATGCTTAAATTGAAGCTAATTGATCTGAAAGCCATCTCATTCGATTCATTAGCTTAAAAAAGTACTTTTTCCTTTAGATTTTTACAAGGTACAAAGCTACAAAATCTTTTTATCACGAAAAATTAAACAAAGAAAGAAAAACTTTTAAAAAGAGCGCTGAGCTGGTTCGTTTCCAAAAGGTGGTTTGTAGCGGAGTGCCAGCTTGTTAACTGAGCTCCCTTTTGAAACTACTGATTTTCTTTATGGGTTAACGTAGAAACTTAACTCACCCTCACTGCGTGCAAAACACTTTAGTTTTGAGAAATGCGTGACGTTTAACGTTTCAAAGACAGATTGAGGTAAGGCAGCCTTAGCCGGTTGTAGATATAGTACATATAATGAAAAATGAAATTGCTTAGGGATTTATTCTTTGGACTGTAATACCAGCAATTAAAGGGTAAACAAGTCATTATCACTTTAACCAAGATAAGATTAAGACTCTCTGTGATAGCAGCAAGGTCAACAGTATGACTCTGAGAACAAATCTTAAATTTTTATTTCCAAGTCTTATCATTCAAAGAACTTGCTCTCTTTGTCCGCGCTTTCATGACAGACTGAGCACATTGATACTTTTCACCAAGAAGATTAGAACTCTCGCCAATAACAACGAACTAAAAATGGCATATTATATTCTTAATTCAATTCCTTTTCTAAAGAAATGAAATCACCCTCCCTGTCTCTTTCACTATTTGGCTCATTAAAAAAACGAGGGACGAGTATCTGCATGGTTCCCTGTCTGAGTTTCTTGAGTGTAAGTTCAACAACTGATGGGCGCTAACACGGTAGGGCTATTTCTTTTGCGTTATAAAGAACCAATGAATTTGGTTACCTACTGTTTGATTAAGAAATACCAAATCCTCTGTTGTTTGTATATAAAATTTTATGACTTAGCAGTAATAATCAATCACTTTTTCGCTTTTCTTAGACAATCCGCAGCAACATTACTGGCTAGCGCTCTGTCCTACTAACTGATTACTTGCAGCCTAGTAGCCCATTCTCTTGCTGCTCAATTTATTCTCTCTCCCCGAGGTGTTTCCTTCTCTTCAACAGATTTCTTTTTATTAGCATTCATTATAAGAAAATAAGTATTTTCTGAGCTGAGTTTATGATAATAATCTTATGGCTTAATTGGTTATTATACGTTCTAATGGAAATCACAGTATGAACATCGCATTTCAGGAGGAATTGGCTTCACCTTTTAATTTAAACTGCAGACGTTTGAAGAGTCTAGTGGGGTCTTATTTCGAGCGTCCTTTCGCAGCCGATCCAAAGCTTCAGCATATGGACTTAACTTTGTCACCTCATATCAATGAACCCTATGCAAAAAGAATTCGTCTTTACCTACGATTCACTAAAACAAAATTACAGCAAAGGAAATTAAAAAGACAGAATTAATTAACGCGAACTGAAAACTTGCCAAAAACCACTAAAGTACATCAAATGAATAACAAAAAGAGCAAACAAACACAGGGAAAATTATACTTACAAGATCTCTACGGCAACTTCAGAGCCAGCTAAACGACTGAATTAAATGGAAAAGAAAATAAAACCAAGTTCTCTTGACTAAACTGAACAAACAACAATAGACCTAATGAACTTACGAAACCTGACAATAACGATTACGCAATGCGACGAAGAAATAGAATAACAGAAAAAAAATACGCATATGGAAAAGGCTAACAAAAACAACACCGCGAAACGCGATAACAAAGTAATAATTAAACTAACTTCATGCAACACAAAAGACAAAATAAAGAATAAGAAAATTCTGTAATCTCTCGCGGCTACACCACTGATTTCGAATCCAATACGTTCAGTGGCATTTTTAAAAGTTATGCTTACCGTTGCTAAGGTAATAGTAAATGCCTGATAGCGGAGCTCCACGAGTGAGCGGAGCCTCATAGCTGAGAAAAGTTGGTTATCAATCCATCCGAGAATTTAATAGGCACGTGACAGAACGTCCGTTCGTCCACCCCGTCCGTCCTTACCTCAGGGTAACCAATGTAAATTCTCACAATTTCTAGCTGGTGTGGGAGCCTGCAAACTAATATTGCACAACCATGTCTTGGTCAATTGACAGCTATTAAAACAGGGCAACCGCTGACTAGCATCGCATGACGTATCGCGGTCTCAGGTTTCGACCCATCGAGGTTATGAGTTTTTTTTTTTGAAGTCAGTCTCCGCTGACAAATGGATTTTGTAGCAGGCTCAACTCCAAGTGGATTTCCTTTCAATGGTTACAACTTTATAGTTTGAAGTTAATTATAAACTTATGAACGGGAGCTTCGCTTTTAGCCTTGGTTAAATCTTACAAATGTATATGTTAGCATTGTTCTTACTGCTGCAGCCAGGTAGTACTGAACGAGTCAAAGATAAGGCCGCACTGAGGAATAACTAACCACCCTATGGGGATCATAAAAGCTGATATTGGTTTGATATAAGGCTTAATTTGTATTTGTTTACAACCACCTTTATATAATGTTGGCAACACATTAATCCCCACTCATTAGTTTCCAGAATTTCTTGAGATACGTTTGTCCAGCTGCTGAGAAACGTTGGCATTCTGACGCTGGTTGCAATTGTCCCTTTTAGTAGGACGCATGTTAGTCAATATTAGGATCGGTGCCCACAGCTACCTCTTCAGGATTTGCAGCAACTGCTCGCTGAAGTTCCTCAACAACCTTCCATGATGGGTGCCCTGTGCTGAAAATTGCAATCCCTTGTTTTTTGCCATTTTTGACGAAAATCACATAAAAAGGCAAGTAGGTGGAAAAAGAAACTGTATTAATACTATTATTATTGAAACCAATGACTAAAACAAGTCAACTTAATGATATAGCAATTATGATATACAATGGTGGGTATCCTGTGCTAAAAATATCAATTCCTTTTTTTGCCATTATTTTGATGAAAATCACATGAAGGACATGAAAATAAAAAAAGAAATTGTTTTATAATTGAAACTAATGAAAAAAAAAAACAAATCAGCTAGATGGAAAATCCAAGGAAGATGTTTTCAGACGCGTACTCAGTCCCAAATAGCTTTTCAAGATGGCGGCTTGAAGGTTTCTTTTCATGGACTGTAAGTATCTGCTAGAATAAATTGCCGTTTTTTAGGGGACATTGTCTACAATTGGAGTCACAACAGGTTTAAGTGAAGTTTTAAGCTCTTCTTGGTGATAAATTTGTTATCGAAAGCCACATTTTCGCTTCATATTTTGTGCCGATTATGAATGACTATACTGAGTTTATTAACTTACTGGTTCAGGTTAGTTAAAGGTTTCTGAAGCTGAGATGTTTTCTACACACCAGGATGGATATTAACTGGGATAGTTGTTATATTTGCTAAGAATCAACAAAAGAAGATCTGAGAAGCCCAATGGTTTAACCGCAGGTACAAGCATTAATTTATAGAAAGCTCCTTGAAAATGTACTAAAAAGGCTGACTTGGGAAATAGGCATACATGTCAGAGGAACGCAAGAAGAAAAGTGGAGCAGCTTGGAAGGCCGAGGAAGACGAGAAATTAAATAAAGCATTTGTTGAACTCACTGAGTACATAGCAAATGAAGTGGAGAATGATACACATTTCTTTATACTTGCTGAACTTCATATTAAGCTGTATTCGTTACAAACAAAGGCACACACTTTGCAGTCCCACTATAGTGTCAGTCTTACAAGCTCGTTTAGTGCCACAATCTCCAGCTTGCTTTTTCTGTTCTGCTTCAACGTGCTTGTTTCTCTTTTCTAGTTTGCTTTTTCTAACTTGGACGTAAGGTGACAGGATTGATCGATGCAACTTTGCACTTCAGTAACATGCACGTGTTATTACTGTACTGATTTCAATATCAAATTTAATTGCAACAAGAACACAGTCCTCTTTCTTGAATTCTAGTACATTGTCAAGGAGCGCTCTATAAATAATTGTTCCGTTAAATTAATGGGTTTCCCAGATCCTCTCTTTTCGATTCTCACCCTAGGTCTACTGAATATGGCAACGATCCCAACTGATTTCCATCTTGGTGTGTAGAAACGAGCTGAAACTCAATCATGATAAGACTGAAATCACTGTATGCTTATCTTGGCGATGTACCGTACTCGTCCACCCATTAGCGACGTCATTATGGGTAATGCAAGGCCAAGAACCACCACCAACAAAGCCTGGGGGTAGCATTTGATGACAACGTGCTGTTTGACGCACACATCTCAACATTCTTTTCAGATTATCGTTTTACCAAATCAGGAACTTATCAAAGATAAGAAACTGTATCACACAGGAGTCTAGCGAAATTGCTGTGCATGCTTTATTACATCTAAAACAGACTATTAATTGCAATTCCTTGCTCTGTGATTGCAGGAAAATGCACTTGAAGGAACTTTTAATAATATGTTCAGAACACTGTCCCCAGGATCGTTACTCGGACTCGTAAACTTTGCGAACCACATCATTTATTTGACCTTCACTGGCTTCCTGTTAATTATCATGTTGTTTTTAAACTTATTTCGTCAGTTTTCAAATCACTTAATAACCTTCCACCTAGCTATCTAGAGGACAGACTTATTTATCTAAGACCTTCCAGGAGCTTGTGGTCCGCATTTCAGCGGCTCTTAGAACAACCTCGAAAACTCACGGGGAAAACACTTTTTCAGTGTGCCCCCCTAAACTGTGGAACTCACTACCATTAGCTAGATTTGCGCAAGTCAACATCTTTAGCCAGTTGAAAGAAAGGACTGAGAACATATCTTTTTACGCAATTTTTAGAGAGCAAGTGAATATTTTTGTAAAACGTGTTTAATATTTCAATATCTGCAGATCATATACCTATACTTATAGAATGTATATTTAGTTTTTTGCATGACTTATTATCATTATATATAAACTTTAAAGGCAAAATAATTTTAAAACAGATGAATTCTTGTTTCCTTCTCTTGTTCTTTGTGAATTGCAAATAGATTTTAATACATGTTATTTCGTGCTCGAGATATAATTTTTCCCCTTTAACATTGTAAAGCACCATGTGCTCAGGATATGAGCGCTATCGAAAGAAGCTATTTTTACTATTATTAATTTTAACCAGTACGAAAATAAACTCAGTATAGTCATTCATAATCGGCACAAAATGTGAAGCGAAAATGTGGCTTTCGATAACAAATTTATCACCAAGAAGAGCTTAAAACTTCACTTAAACCTGTCGTGATTCAAATTGTGCACAATTTCCCCTAAAAAACGGCAATTTATTCTAGCAGATACTTACAGTTCATGAAAAGACACCTTCAAGCCGCCATCTTGAAAGGCTTATTTGGGACTGATCACGCGTCTGAAAACATCTTCCTTGGATTTTCCATCTAGCTGATTTGTTTTTTTTCATTAGTTTCAATAATAAAACAATTTCTTTTTTTATTTTCATGTCCTTCATGTGATTTTCATCAAAATAATGGCAAAAAAAAGGAATTGATATTTTTAGCACAGGGTACCCACCATTGTATATCATAATTGCTATATCATTAAGTTGACTTGTTTTAGTCATTGGTTTCAATAATAATAATATTAATACAGTTTCTTTTTCCACCTACTTGCCTTTTTGTGTGATTTTCGTCAAAAATGGCAAAAAACAAGGGATTGCAATTTTCAGCACAGGGCACCCATCATGGAAGGTTGTTGAGGAACTTCAGCGAGCAGTTGCTGCAAATCCTGAAGAGGTAGCTTTGGGCACCGATCCTAATATTGACTAACATGCCCTAAGCTACAACCATGCAAAAGTTTGGTGCTTTTGTCCGCTCTGTATAGATCTCGCCAAAATTTTGCACTAAGCCACCGGACTATCTCAGGATCAAAGAAAGTCGGAAGCAACGCGATTCTTTAATTAATAACACGCAACCACAGCCAACAAGACCCGGCGTAGTTTGTTTGTTTGTTTGTTTGTTTGTTTTTTTTTATATTAAAGCTTTTGCAATACTGTAACTACATAATTATAGTCATGCCAATAGAGCTTATGTTGTTGTTAGTTATCGCTGGGTTGTGTCAGATTATAAAATCACCATTAACTAACTGTCTATCTACCTAACTACGATTAAATAAAATATTAAAATTTGAAACAATGCGGGCTGCTTTCTTAGAGACTGTGTTAAAAAATTGGGGCGACTCAATTTTGTCTTAAATTTGCTTACGGGAGTCACTTGCCGCAATTCACGGGCGTATTAAATTCTGAGGGTTACAACTGAACCCCACTGCATGGATGTCGGTAATCAACGCGGGGTTCGTGGAAGGGCTTGTTTGTTTTCAGTACAGTATTGGCCTTAATTCAGGTTGTTGCAATTTGAACTAAACGAAATTTGATCTTTTTTGTTGGCTAGTTTCAACTTGAAAATTTGAGGGAGGCAGTGAATCAATGTTATGCAAAGTACCGAATTTTCTGGGAAAATCCACTATAGAGCACAAAACAAACAACTTTGCACTGGCCGTAAAAGAGCCTGCGTAGCAAGCGTTTCTGTGCGGTTTAGGAGCAAAGAACGAGGAACAAGAGTAAGGGACCAGTCATAATTTAAGTTGGAGGGGGGGGGGGGGGGGGGTGGAGGAGAAATTGTTTTTTATCCCAAATTATTTCTAGACCCCTACTAATAGCACCCATGTTTTTTAGGTACCCCCCCTTCAATCATGTTAAAAGATTTAAGGGCCCCCCCTTTCTTACATAATAAGACTATAATACCCAATTGGTAATAACAAATAACATTTTCTTTGCTTTACCGTTCTTACTCACTGTCACTTCCGAATGTGCCAACTAACAACAGAGAAGCACTTCACACTAAACTGAGAAAGAGATTTCACCTAGAGCCTCTCAAACAACTTATAGAGCAAGGATATATCAGTGATTGTGTTATAATTGAGATAAGACAAGCCATCGAAAGGTTAGAGGCCGGCAGGACCCCTTCAAGGAAGAAACAAGATAATCAGCCAAAGCTTACTGCTTTTTATATGAGCAGTACATGCTCTAATAGCAAAAACCTTGACAGTGACAGACAGTGAGTCCACATCAACCTCATCTACAAATAATGATTCGGATAGTGAGATTGCATAACATGACTTTATGCATGTAATCATTTGTTAAAATGCCGATGAAATTGTTTCAGTGTCACAAAATAATCGATGTTGTGTTGATGCACCTACTATTTGAGCATTAAATCTTTTTGTCAAAATGCTGATTAAATTGTTTTAGTATTACACAATATATGGGACTTTGTGTAAAACTGAATCAAAATCAGGTCCTTTAATACTCAAGCATCATGCTGCTCAGTAGGGATGCTACTTAAAAGAAACTTGAAGACCCCCCCAAGGTCATCTTTTGGCATTTTAAGGCCCCCCATATTCCATCCAAAAAAAATTGAAGGCCCCCTAATTTCTCCTCCACCCCCTCCTTCAACTTAAATTATGACTGGTCCCTAAGTCAAAGACCGCGCGAAAAAATGGCGCTAGTAAAAGAGCGGGGAGGGGGTGGGGAAGAAACCCCTCTCCCCTCTTTCATTTTTTGGCTCTCGTTTCATTTCTCGCGCGGTGAAAAGAGAAAATCCCCTTCCTCGGTCCTTTTTTGCTCCGAAGCTAAACGGAAACGCTTGCCACGCAGGCTAGCCGTAAAATGACCAATCGGGTCAGCTAACACCCTTCTCGGCCATGGACCTGGGAACGAGGAAACTTCCCGGAAGTGGGGAAGCCCCTCGGGAAGGTTTCTCGGGAAACCCCCGGATCATTGCGGGCGCCATCTTCGACGCAACGACGGTGTTTTTAAGCAAAATGAACCTCAGGAGACGCTGAAAAGTCTGTCCTCTTGCCTGGGAAGCAGCGTTAAACATACTTAATCACGGTAAGCGAGTGAATTGTAAAATCGCAGGCGTTGAAACGTTATAAAACAAGTCATTGCAAATGCAACTCTGCCCTTCGAGCGGAGGCTACATTTTTGGCTTTGTGAGCTGTGTCGTGCGAAGCTTTTCGCACTCCAGCTCACGCAGCGAAAATGTAGCCTTTGCTCGCAGGGTAATGCAACTCCAGCAAGTTGTGGAAATGCCATTCTGCTTTTAATTCGTTTATTTGAAAAATATTCGTGGCAAAATGGCCTCACACTAGTTTTCTAAAGTGAAAGGGTGTCATCTGCGGGTGGAAGCCATCTCGTTTATTAATTTTATAAGATTGTTGTAGTTGTGGCATGTGTCGGGTATTTGTCATCTTGTCGGTCCCTGCGGTGGGAAAAAAAAGAAAACCTCTGCCCGGGGGGTGGGGGATTTGTCAATTCTTCTAGAAGCAGTTAACATCATTCCTTTATCAATATTTCACATTATGTGCATATTTATATGCTTATTTAGATAGCTATAGATATTTCTAATATATAGATTGAGCCAGGGCTAAAAGTGAAACCTCCGATTCGTTTATATACTTGTAATATACATGTGTAAGCAATTAAATTTAAGGTAATAAACTCTAAGCCACTAATTAAAAATGAAATCTTCAAATCCCCACTTGAGCACCTTTGAGAGAGGGGTTAAATGATTAAGAAACACACCTGAAATTTAAAAAACTCTCCCAGCAAGCTATGAAAGGCATATTCAGCACAAAAAATCACAACAAAATCACAAAAAATCACTATGCATCAAGTTCAATCACAATAGTACATGTAGATCAATCACAATAGCTAGGTGTTGGGGGTTAATTTTGTCCTTGGTTTAAATTTTATTTTCCTTTGTTTTTGGGTATGGTAATGTATGTTAACCCATTCGCCCCTGAACCGCCCATAACCGCCCATGCGGATCCAGGACCTTTCTACCCTTTGTGACGTCATCAGGTTTAACGGTCAAGGACAACTTTCTTCGCTAACTTGTGCAGAGTGAAGAGATCTTTCAAACCATACCAGAATGAGCACAATTCAGTCAAGGACACCAGAGAAAGAAGCAAAAAACCACGTGACAAGGACCTGAAAATCTCCATGAAAATCTTGTTCCATTACCCACCTACCTTTCCTTTCACCTAATCCTAAGATCCTAAAAGCTTTCCTAAAAACTCTTCCCACCAAAACGAAGCCTACTAACTGCCCAGCAAGAGAAAAAAAAAATGAGGCAAGAAAAGCGAAAAAAGAAGGGAGGAGAGAAAGCGAAAAGTAAAAGTCAAGACTGCTGTGTCACTTTTAAACCCAAAATTTTGCTTTCTGCGCATGCCCGAACTTCGCAAGCTGATATTTTGCATCTGGATCAGAAGGCCGCCAAGTGTACGACCTGTAAACCGGTTTGTGGTAAGTTTTAGCTCTTTATAGCACGACAGTGACCAGAAAACCACTCGACTAGCTTCAAAACGCGTTTTTCGGCAAAATCTCCAGGAGCGAATGGGTTAATGAGTTTGAAACAAAAGGAAGTAAAATTTAAACCAATGATAAAATTGAGCTACAACATAAATATTATCAAACCCCTTATCATAACCCTTTACGAAGTTATAGGTCTCTTCAGAAGCAGCAATTTACCAGTTAGGATCAGTATGTCTGACTTTGAGAGAAGACCGAAAAGAAAAATCAGCCTGACTTTTGTGTTTCTTTAAGATGAACAGTTATGTGACTGTGTACACATGGTGTAGCTTTACATTTATACCTCACAATATATAATAGAAATTTTACATTAGGTACTGTTTGTTTTCTCTGAGGACAGACTTGGGGCAGCAAATAACTTTTTTTGCTTTTAATGAATAAAGTATAATTCACACAAACTGTGCGGGATGTGTACAGGTGTTATGCAGTGAAGGAAATTCACTGAGAAACATACTATAGAAATGTGTGATTTGTAAACTGTAAATTACAAAATACATGTAACAGTACAAAAACTTAAAACTAAATTCAATAAGACGAACTCGGGCTTGAAAAGCCAACAAGTCTATCATTAGAAGAAAGGAACTTTAGATACTTTTTGAGTGCAGATAGAAAGTGTAAACAAATGCATCAGACTTCATTCAAGTGGTATTCGGGGCACGAGTTATGGAAAAAAGTAACACATTGCAGAATTATCGAATGGCAAGTATGAGTAAGATTTAAACAAGACCCCCATAATGGGGATACATTGGTCTGCCGGACTGTGTGACAATTTGTCATGCTGTGCCAAAATTACATCCTACAATCCTGGACAAAAGTCCTTGGGACAGTACTGCAATATTCATATTTTTCTGTCATTTCTTGGTTCCCTCTTAAAACAGTGCATCCTTTTCAAAATTTTCTTGCACTTCTCCCTCTCCCCACCCTATACAAAGTTGAAACTTGGAAAAAATTCTGGATACATGCGTCCAACATTGTTTGTGGGGTGATCATGAGGGGAGCAGCTGGACCTGTGTGAATTGGAAAACACCTCAGAAATGCAAAGTGTCCCAAGACTTTTGTCCATGATTGTAGCCTACCACGTAGATGTTCTTAGGGCTTTGTGATGCATTCCTTCCCCATTGCTTGATGAGTCAAAAGAAAGTATGTGTGGGAGGCTAAAATTGTCCCCCTTTTTTAAAATTCTACTCTTGGTTAAAGAAAATATAAGAGATTTGAAATGGCTTCACAGTCTGTTTGAAACAGTACTGCACCTACAAAATATTAGCTGGTGAAAGCGTTACCACGGCCTCTGAAGATCCCTGAAGAAGATGTTAAGGAGAAGATAGAGGAACCTACATATATTGTGACAAATGTCTAGAGCTTTATTCCCGCATGTGGCGATCGATTGAGTAGTAACGGTAAAGACTTGACCGAACTGGACAAGATGCTTGAAAAGTCTCCTGCACTTAGGGGAGGCGGAATTTACATGAATGCAGACGTTTGTTTGTGAAAACATGATAAAAGAAAGCAGAGATGTCGGCCCGGACTGAGACTTTGCCGATTACTTTTTCGATCTGCGAACTTTTGTGTATTAAAAATTCAATCCTCTTCTTCCCACCGGCGTATTTTCCAAATCTTGGATAAAGTAAATAGCATTATTCAAGTTCATGGAATGTCTTCACAACTGTCCTGCGGGGGGGAGGGGGGTACTCCTGGGAATTCTTAGTGAGGGTGTGCCGCGTGGTTCTTTAAATCCCGATCCTATTTCAGATCAAAAATGTCATTTTTCACACCCGTTTTCAGACCTGTCCCCTAAGAAATTTATGTCATCACTTACACTTAGATTAGCGCAGAAACACAAAATACATATATAGATATATATATAAAATCTTTCTCTTTCTTTCTTACTCATTTGGAATTGAAATGAACAATGCGTTCATCCACTCCGGTAGTTCCCTTGAAAGCCATAGCCGATTCCAGACCAAAATAGGCAAAGTCTATACCAGTTTTCAGACCAGAATGGTGCAAAACCATCCCCTTTGGGGCAGCACATACCTTTATTATGGCTTATATAAGGGAGTACTCCCTCCAGTGACAGCTGTAAAGATCCATATAGTGAAAGACCCCAGAATATTTGCATGTATCTGGCTTCACGCTGATTGGCTGTCTGCTAAAACGTGGGTTCAATTAGGTCAGAAAAGAAAAATGTAAAAAAATTGTTTCTTTTTGTCCTCTTCCAAAAGCCTTGAACAAAGAAATTGTTTGCTAAGACCCAAGAGCTGATCATGAAGCTGAAGTTTGTATTGATGCTTGTATGTTTTTATTTGATTTTGATCACCAGCAAATCTTTGATACTGCAACGCCCAACACAAGTCATGCCAGTAAATTATAATAAACAACTCTGAAGTTTCATGTCACTTGTATAAGGATCCTAAATGGGATTCAATTAATTCAGTCAGTTTTCTAGCCCTAATCATTAAACTTAGGAGTAATTTGCTGTTTGGTGTTCAAACAATATTGTTTTGTTCCCCCAGCATAACTTTTATCTGAAATGACCCACCCCTTTTCCTCAAAAATCAGAAGTTTGGTAACAACCTGATCTGTCCGCCATTTTGTCTTTTTGCTGCACAGACAAGGCGGCCTCCATTTTTTGATTGGGCATTGCCCTGAAGGGCAGCCCAATAATGGATAACAAATCAGTCATGTCAATGGTACACGTACAACAACAACAGTTGAGTTTTGTTCAAGAAAGGGGAGTAGCCCGTCCGAACTTTATCTAAAAATCTCACAATCTGTAATCTAATGATTGGGTTTTGAGCTTTTGTTTAATATAAATGGACAATCAACGGATAAATTATTTCTTGAAAATTTTTATTAAAAAACCTATTAGGTTTTTTATCCTTAAAAGCAATTTAACACTAATTGAATCATGGATCCATTTACGTAAGTAAAATCAGGCTGAGCACATGGTTAAATTCAAAGTAGAATCCTTTCCAAATAGTACACTGTACCTGGTATTTTCCTTAAGGTATTCATAATTCTTCATTTCACCCCAGCTCTTTTTGTTTTCACAATTGCAATTGCTGATCATTCGTAAAAATGATGATTTTCAACTCATTTATTGCTCTCATTGGTTTCAATTTTGGCACACAAATAACCGGTTGGCCGTAATGTTTTCTTGCTAACAAAAGAAAAATTTCGAGGGCATTTGTTTAGCTCTTCATGGGGACATTCCAAGTTGTGAATTCTTTGTGGAAACAAAACCATTCTGTGAAAAGCCCATTTAATTGAGTTTTATGAACATGTCAGGTAAATAAAGTAAAGCAAGCCTTACATGTAATTTGCATTTGTAAACAAAAAACTTTTGACCAGTTTCATCAGTGTATTTAGGTTAAACAAACAATAAAAAGATTTAGCTGTAAATCTGCCAAACCGAATTTCATCACCTTTTACATGTATGTGTTGTTGGGAACAGCTTCTTTGATTATTTTTTAAATTTCTTTGTTTGTTACAGTAACAAACCAAAAAGCCATTTTGCTCATAACTTGCGCAAGTTTGTCCTATAATTCGCTTGGAGGTGAATACCACTTGATATCCCAAGTTTGAGTAGTAAAATCAGATTGGCAATAACAATATCCACCTCAAAAATCTGGGGAAAAAAAACGACTCTTGCCGATATTTCGTTTTTAATTCAATTCAATTCAATTCTTTATTTGACACTATATAAGATATTTACATAAGTGTACGTAGGTAGGAAAATAAAGTAGCTGACAAATAATAATTAACTAAAAGACTAATAATTATATGCCTTATTGTACTTGTATACTGAGGACTTTGTTACATAGAGGTGCATTGTACTCTATTATGAAATATATAGAGTAAACAAATGTTTGTTTACTCCAGTTTTAATTTACCTAGGCTTTAAAAAATCTGCTTACCCATCTTTCCTCTAGTGTTATAATCATTATTGCAAGCAGTGTAATGTTATTTTAACTAAAATCAGTTTAGCCATGAAGATATTTAAGAGCCATCATAACTCATTGAAACATGCACTGTTTTGTTTCATTTCCAGCACAGTTATAATTTTTGTTAACAAATTATGTCACTCTACCATTACAAAGGGTGACCATAACCCAGAATGCATTCCTGTCCACCAAATTCACCATTGTGTTGTTAACTTTAGGAGCAGCAACTTGAAAACTTATTTTTTGCTTAGTAACATTTGAATATAAAAGCTGAGGTTGTAATGAACATCTTTTTCAGCCATTTCCTCAGTTGATGATCAGTTATCATGTGAGGAGTAAGTTGGCATACCTGTGACTGCAGCAGTAGGACAGGTGATAAGACAATTATTATTATCGTGTTATTATAATTATCTGATTAGAAGAGCAGTTAATATCATGTCAGTATTTCTGAAAAGACATGCATCAAAGTTGATACATTTGGAAGCACTATATCATCAGTCATTGCTTCACAGGTCTCATACCCCCTACTGAGCCCCTCCCCACAAGGATACAGTGGAACTTCTCCTTTGGGACACCCCTATCCAAGGGACTCCTCCATTCAAGAGACACAAAAGGGGCACATTTTCTGGGTCCCAAAATCCAGTTTTATCTTCTATTCAGGGGACACCTTAGCTCTTAAAAGGTACATGGTATGTAACTGACCACAAAAAGGGTTGATAAGTGTACACTAATCAAAATGATAACAACAATTGTGTCATCTCACTTAAATCAATGCACTGCACTTGTAGGAATTAAACACACAATATTGCAGTAATAATCATGATTTTTCTGTACATTATGCAGCTGCTTGAAATGATGACTGCAGCAGATTCCATGGCAGAATAAAAAAAAAATGGCTGGTTTTTCAGCCCAACCTGTATTCAGGGGACTCTTACCTCAGTCCTGAAGTTGTTCCCTGAATAGAGTTTCCACTGTATCATTAATCTTTTTGGTCATGACTGAGCCCAGTACTTTCTTGATCTTGAGGTAATAGTCAGATGATCCCCTGGGCCGAGTTGTTCGAAGCTGGATTAAGATAACCCAGGGTTAGTGCGAGATTTGAATTCAGATTTGACTGCTTAAAAAGCATTTCAGTTTTAATTCTTTTAGTCTACAAGTTGATGATTGAAAGCTCTAAAAATAACAGAGAAAATTATTCGAGAAAATACTTTTGAACACAAGACAAAGAAACCAGGGTTAAATTTAACCCCGAGTTAAGCGCTAATCCGCCTTCGAACAACTGGGCCCAGTAGTCTAAGAGAGGGTGGTTTACTCTGTAATGAATGCATTAACTTAATGTGAGGCACTTGTCTTTTATCCTGTAGTCCCTTTGTATTATAATACAGAATTATGACAGATCTGATTGATTTTTCTAGGTGTTGGCCACTCTACGTAACATTTTTTGGATGTTACACGTGTGTGTAGGCAATGGCATCTACGTCAAAGCATTCTCAAGAGCATGAACTGGCTGTTGGCTTCAACAAAGTGCAGGTCACCAGTTTGGCTTCAGAATGGGGGTCAAGCAAAGGAGGGCTCTCCACCATAAGCAGAGAATTAGCCATACAGCTGGCAAAGTTACCTGAGGTGGAAATCACCGTCTTTTTACCAAGATGTAGTGAAGAGGATAAAAACCAAGCCCTTTTGAGCAATGTTAAGATTGTTGAGGCGAAAGAACATCCTGGCCTCGATGAACTGGACTGGCTCAGCTTTCCCCCAGACGATTTGCAAATTGACGTAATTGTTGGTCATGGGATGAAACTTGGTCATCAGGCACAAGTCATTAAAAACTCGAAAAAATGTAGGTGGGTTCAAGTGGTACACACTGATCCAGAGGAATTGGGGATGTTCAAATCATATAGGAACCCGATTTCTAAGGGCGAAGGAAAGCACAGGATTGAAGTGAAGCTTTGTGAAAAGGCAGATCTTGTTGTGGGGGTTGGACCCAAATTGAGCGAGGCGTTCAGATCATATCTTCGAAGCTCTCAAAAAGATCAAAACGTTGTTAATTTTACCCCGGGTGTTTTTGATGAATTTTCCAGTGTAGAACAAAGTCCTGAAGAGAGAAAACAGTGCAGCATCCTGGTGTTTGGCCGTGGAGACGATGAAGACTTCGAATTAAAAGGATTTGATATCGCTGCAAGAGCTTGTTCTTCGCTGCCCGATTTTCGTCTTGTGTTTGTTGGGGCACCAGATGGGAAGCATGAGGAAATAGCGAAAAAATTGACGGGATGTGGTGTTCCTGCTAAAAGTTTGAGAGTGAGAAGTTTTGTGGACAGCCGGGAGGAATTAAAACGCTTGTTTCTTGAAGTTGACCTTGTACTTATGCCTTCAAGAACAGAGGGATTTGGGTTGACAGGACTTGAGGCCCTATCAGCTGGTCTCCCTGTGCTTGTGAGTAGCAACTCGGGGTTTGGTGAAGCACTGAACAAGGTACCATTTGGCTCATCATTTGTGATTGATTCAGAGGATCCTGAAGTGTGGGCTGCAGCTATTAAAAAGGTATGGGGCAAAGACAGAGAGGGGCGTCTGGAGGAGGCTGAAATGCTGCACACTTCCTACGAGAGGAAATACAGTTGGGCCAACCAGACCAGAGACCTTCTGAACAGGATGATCATCTTGCTTCGTGGTATGAAATTTAGTTTTGTTGTTTTAGTGTTATTATGTGTACCTTTATTGTTCCAGCTGCACGCAATCGTAGAGACTGGCTTAGATGACAATTTATCCTTGAAAATAACTTTCGGCGTGCGCTGCTGTAAACTCGTAAAGATATGAATTCAAGCCTCCTCAGTATGGCCACTACCTGGACAGACCCAACTGTTCTTATTACAGACGTGTTCTTTCTGTTGCTGAAGACCTTGCAAGTCGTTTGGCGTCTCTCAGGGGCCCTAATCGACGGTTTCCTCCTAAAAAACACTTTTTAGGCTATCCAGAGTACTGTTAGATCTCTAGAAATGCATTCTTAGCGCCGCTATTAAATTTGTCTCTAATCGGTCATCCTAGGGCAACTTGAGTCTTTTCGAAATACTAGGACTTCGGTATTATTTTCCCGAAAATCTTAGATGCAATTTAATGTCCATCACATATTTCAATCCGAAAATTTTAGGTTTTTTTTATTCGACCGAAATTAGCCTAACATGGGGAGTAAACTGTGAAAAATAAAACTTCAGAAGATCTTAGGGAGTTTATTACATAAGCCTCAAAAATTGTACATGATTGGAACGGTAATCTAGAAATTTTTAGCCGTCCCTAAGAAATAGAATATTCTGGGCAATATTTGCTTCTCCGAACAGATATTTTACAGAAAATTGTCGTTGGGTGCCCCTGATCTCTGGAATCTCGAAAACTGTCCGTAATAGAGAGGTGTTCGTAGAGGGGGATTCGACTGTATTACCATACGAACTTTTCCAGATATAAGTAATTCTACCGCTTTACTAAAGTCAAAACAATTGTTTACTCTCTTTGTTTTTCTCAACAGGTAACTTAGATATAAACAACAGTCTGCAAGAACGATTTGCAGACGCGAACCGTCGGGAGATTTATTTACATGACGCGCGGAGTATTCTGGAGGAAAATCCTAAATCGCCGAAGCTGTATGGCCAACAAAAAGTGCAAGAAGGTTTATCAAATGTGGAAGCCGAGACACAAAGCTTTGCCTTCCGTCAAATAAGTTATGGTAATGAGAAAGCTGCGCTGTTTGTACTTTTTCGTGGATGGAGTTTAACGGAGCAGGAAGATATCAAAACCGTTATCTAACTGAGATAGCTTTGCTAATCAGTTCTAGTATTTGTAAAGCTACAACAGCTCCCTCTTGTTATCTAACCTAGACTAGCTGTAATCCTTCTTACTGCTTTTTACCAGTTGTCCCGCTATGAAGTCTCAATATTGTCATGTTTCAGCGAGAAAGCAATTTTTTGTACCTCAATTTCAAACTTTTGTTTTTTGCCATCTGGTTTTTTCGCATTATTTATTACCTTAGTTTTAGGAAGATCAAAACTCCTTTTTAGCCTTGGACGTTTGTCACACATATTAGAAAAGTCTTTTGTTTAGCTTCAGCTTTTTTCTTTATGTAGAGATTGCCAACTGTGGAAGAGACATCGCCTTCTTTTCCGAGCGTCTCCATAAGGATACAAGGCAGTGGCTGTTTGAAGATTTTAACACATGGTTTAGTAACCCTGGCGACTCTAGAGCCTACGTTCTACTGGGAGATGCAGGGGTTGGCAAGAGTGTGATCGCAGGAGCTTTGGCACAACAAATGATAAAAACGAGACAGTTAGGGGCTGCTTACTTTTGCCGTCATAATGATGGCACAAGAAATGATCCAAGGAATCTTCTTGGGACTATAGCCTGTCAACTCTGTGATTGTAATTGTGAGTACAGTAGTAGAATGGGAGGGGAGGATGGTGTAAAAATTTTTTTAGCCAATTCTAATTTAGGGGTACAGGAACTATGTACGAAATTACTTGAAGAGCCACTAAGTAAGTGCAGTTCATTTCAGCGCAAATTAGTCGTTATTGACGCTCTAGACGAAACAGAGTACAAGTCCAGGAAAGATTTTATTTGTCTTATAAAAGAGCGTTTTCCTCGGCTTCCTGAATGGCTTGTGTTCTTTATCACCAGTCGCCCTGAAGACATGTTACAAAGCAGATTAGAGAAGTACAACCCGTGTGTTAGGATTTGCGCGGGAAACAGTGAACAGCGCAACTTCTATCAGCGGCATGAACAGGACATTCAGCGATATTTAGAAAAAACTGTAAACTTCTCCGGCCTCCCTTACTCGGTGAAAGACGTCGTAGAGAAGTGTAGCGGATTGTTCTTATACGCTTTCTTCGTGGCAAAAGAACTAAACAGCGCGTTACATTCAGGTAAGGTTGATCAAGTAGGCGACTCATTTCCGGGGGACATCGAAGACTTCTTTGAAAAGAACTTAAAGCGTGTTTACGTTAAAGTCGGAGCAGATCTGTATCGCAAGTTATTGGGCTCCATTATAGCTGCACCATCACCGCTTCCTGTATCGTTTATTTCGTTTATTCTTGGCAGAGAGAACTCAAGTCTTAATGAGCAAAAGGTAATTGATGCTGTCTCCCTATTTGTGGGGATACAAAAAACGATTTCATTTCTTCATAATCTGATTCCAGCTTGGTTAACAAACAAGAAGAAAGCTCAAGAGTTGTATATTGACGAAAAAAGGGCAGGTGAGTTTCTTGCTGAAATTGTTAAGGAAGTTCTGTGTGCTTTTGTTGGCGATCCGGGAATGAAGTTGAAGTTTATTGAGAGAGATTTGCAAAGCTGTATTGTTCACTTTGGCATTCGATTATTGTGTCAACATGGAGAAGAGGATTCTTTGGAGCTTGTTTTGCGTTGCTTAACAAGTTATCATTTCTTGGAGGGAAAGATTCGTAGTGGGAGATTTGGAATTTACCATCTACTTAAAGATTTTCAGTATGCAGCCAGCTGCCTTGCTGTTGAGGAGAAAGAGAAACAGAATATCTTGCAGGAGACTTACTCAGCTCTAGAAAGTGATGTTCATGTTCTCGTAGAAAGTCCTCAGCTTCTGCGGTCATGTATACTAAACGCCTCAGATGTTGTCCAAGAAAACGTTTTGGTTCCTCAGGTGTCGTCGCCTTGCTTTGAGTGGAATATTTTAGAATTTTCTCCTGGTGAAATTCTTTCTAGATGCAACTGTTTTGCCACAGCTTCTGATAAGCAGACTGTGGTTGGTGCAGACGGTCGCTTGCTCTTCTTTTTCAGTGCATCCATGCTTCAAATAGTAAGCGGACCTTTTGAATTAAGCGAAGATACAATTTCAAAAATCACCCATTTGGAGTTTTCTTCGGACGGCAAGTTTATATTTTTCGGACGGCTCGACAAGTGGTTCTCGATTGATGGAAGATGTGTGGAGGACATACCACAGTTCGCAGGAAATGATATCCATTATCAGTGGGGTTTAGTCACTACTGACAGACATTACATCGCTGCAAACACGCACTTTCCTGCAATGCGTGAACGCGGGTGTTGTCTAACAGAGTTGGTTGCTTTGTGGGCTGGAAAGGAGATTGAGAACAGCCGAAAAGAAGAATGGACTTGCTCTTTTGATGAGTTATCAAATAGGATAGCTGGAATTGGTATCATGGGTAGGCATGCGAGACACTTAATGAAATGTCTTGGTGTTGACCCCCGTTTTTATAAAAATCATGTGATGTTCGTACCAGATGATCCTTCTTGTGACTTTTGTTGCAGGTTAAAGAAATTAGCAGAATCATCCAAAGAATTATGCCTTGAAGCCGTGCGTCAGCTTATTATTGATCTTTACCCTCGACTCTTCCAATATCAGATTTGGAATCTTCAGTCTGGACAACCCCTGCTGCGCGACGTTTTTGACCAGGATGCCCAGTTAAACCCCTTCGCATATTTTTGTCACGTAACTGTTGCTTATGATCTGCTGGGAAAAGGAATTGAGTGTTCCGGGGTTGTTAAAGCTATTTCAGTCTGTAACATTGCTGTTGTCACTGCTGTTTACTTCTTGCTTCAACTGGAACGTGAACGTTGTGTTAATGGCCGGTTGTTAGAGATAGTGACGCTCGCGTTGAATGGAACGCTTTTTGCTGAATTGCCGACAGGTGGTGGTCGTGGTGTCGAACGTGGTGTCGAGCAATTCTGTAATTCATTCAAGTCTGACTTTTTTATGCACTTTCCTGAAGGTTTTCTAAATCTCTCAAGAAATGAGTTTTCTCGCTGCATTTCACCAGGAAAAAACTGGTTCGTTAACCTCTCAGTGAATGGTCGTTTGGAGCTAACGAGAATAAAAAAAAAGAATCGTAGGAAAATTAAGTCCACCAAGGACGAGCATAAGATCACCGAAATATCCCATTTTACTTTTACAAATGATGATCGCCTTGTTGTGTACTCTTCTATTAAAAACTCGCTTCATGCTGTGTGTCTTCAAACAGGCAAAGTTTTCACAAGTGTGTCAGGATGTAACTTTGGACTGTTCAAAAGAGGAAAGGAACGTGGTTACTTGTTTCGTAGCAGTGGTGAAGAAAGAGTCGTCTTTTTGAAAAATCTATGTAGTCCTTTCAAATTTTTTCGGTTTTGTGCACAGAAGTTTGACTCAATGATGTTTAGCTCAACGATGTTCAGTTCAAGCCATACTGTGACGTGTATTAGTCCTGCCTCAGTCGTCTCGTTGTGGAATTTTAAGGATCATGATGACTTCATGTTTTTCAAGATCATAACCTCTTTCCCTTTGTCAGATTCTCCTGGCACGCTGGCTTCCCCACCAAAATATGTCTTTTCGCCAAATGGAAAACTTATTGCTTTACAGCAGAAAGACAAAATAACGCTACACTGTGTGGAAGAATCTCAAAGGTATTATTGTACAGTTTTTGAAGGTAACTTTGGTGACGTGGATATGTGTTTGCAGTTTTCTGCTGATAGTAGTTTACTTTTTGTTTGTATTCAGGACAGCTTAAAGGGCCCACATTTCTATGTGTGGGATATTAGAAAAAAAGCAATGTCACACTCATTTGAATCACCAGGACTACTGCTTACTTTAGACTGTTTTTGCATTTCATCTGATGTGAGTTACCTAATATTGTGCGGTGGTTATAACGAAATTGAGGTCTGTGAGTTCAAGAACTTAAAGGATTCCTTTAGTTTGTTGCAAAGCGTGGGAGTCGAGAAGTTTTACAACTCAGTCAAGTTCAGTCTGTGCATCGTTTCACAGGACAACGAACTGCTAGTTTGCTGCATCGCGAACCTTATATATGTTTACAAACTCACTGTGGGTAATATCTATTCGTCTAGGAAAATTCTGCGTGGGCATCTCGGCAAAATTGAATTCTGTAGGTTTTTAAAAGGAAATCTGTTTCTTATTTCCTATAGTGTTGATGGAGTGGTATTCCTTTGGAATATTACTGAGTCAAAAGCCATTGGATTTGCAAAAATTGCACATGGAGAGGAAAAGATCGTCTCCATGGCCGTGTCGCCTGAAGAGGACAGAGCTGTTTGTTTTTTATCCTCGGGTCGAGTATGCGAAATAACTCTCTGCAAACTGGAGTGTACTTTGTCTTCAAAATTGCTGACGGCATTGACGGAAGGCAAATTAGATGCACCTGAAACAAAAACACAGCTGGCAAAGCACATGCCTTCAACTTCCAACATTCCAACCTCGTCTCTCGAAGACTACAAGCCCGAACCTTCGAGGAATTTTGACTTGGAAGAAGATTTCTACATACCGGAAGACTATTTCTTTGAATCTGACGAGTCTGACTGACCTAGTGGCACCCCTGCACCGGTTATCAGCCGCATCACGCGAGTTGGCCCATGTCAACACAGAAGCTAGCAACTTAGTAGTTGCTGGCATTATCGGAATTGAATAAGACTTATTTTGGAGGTTATTATTATTGTTATGTTTTAAAGAATGCATTTTTTTTCTGTTTGTAGTTCTTATGTTAAATTTTTTTATTCAATGATATTGAACAATGTTGCTTTAACTCAAACTCAGTTTATAGCTTTAGAGGTCAACATCGGAGTGATTACGACACGCCTTCCTTGACCATGTATCAGTGAGCGAAATGCTTTACTCTCCAGTGATTATTAAAAATAAGCGTCGGCAAAATCTCCCTTGGACTTGAGCTCGGGTTTCGTTTGTTATTGTAACCGTAATCAATTGATAACGCGCGCATATCTCTTGGGTCCGAGGCTCTTGACAGTGATACTTAAAAAGTTGAAAAATGTTAGAACAGAAGTAGAAATGGCTAAGCCTCTTAGTTGATTCTTATTACTCTTACGTTTTTTTTTTTTATTTAAACAGAAAAAATAGCTGAATTAAAATAAGTAATTAGTGGCTGATCCTGAAAACGATTTCGAGAATTGTGCAGATCATGCGGATCGGGGACCAAGGCCGGCTAACATCCTCCGAGATCTGCATAATTCTTTAGGTCACACGAAAGCCGAATCCAGTAGGCCTTTTTCAAAAATACCACAATACTCCTTATTGTCCCTCGAAAATTTTGTATAAGCGTTCTTTTCAAGTTCTTTTGGGAGTTAAAATGGCTCCAAGAGAACTTGAAGACAATGCTTATGTCAAATGTTGGAGAGAAGACAAAGAGTATTATGGTATTTTTGAAATAGGCCTACAACTTTTGTTATGATTCGATGCAAATTTTTCTTCCTTTCCTTTGGCCGAGAGCCCACCAAACGTGGCCTGCACATAACTACTTACAAATATTGGTCTGCTCATGCGCAATGCCGTCCAACTGTGTTTGGCTGCAAACAATATACTGCTCATGCGTAAATGAAACCACACATTCTCTTTCTTGCAGATCGCGTCGCAAATAATCAAAAAACAAACTCGGTGATCTAATGATAAAAAAATTATTGAACTCGGTTATCGCAAAATATTGTGATTTGTCAGTGTCTCGTAGATCAATTATTTGCCGAAGCCGAAGGCTTAGGGATCCTTAGGCAAATAATTCATCTGCTTGTCACCGACAAATCACGATATTTTGCTCAACCTCGTCCAATAATTGTTAATTATCATTCGTTCAAAATAATTCTTACTTTAAACCATACTTACCTCCATCAATATTAAGTTCCCAATCTGTACTTGTCAACTGCCATTTGAAGAATATCTGCAAGACTGAACATCCTTTTGTATCCTGAATTTTCGGCAAATTCGGGATATAAAGGGATTTTTAGTTTGACAGTCTTAGTCTCTTCAAATAGCAGTTGTCATTCTTTGGGTAGTATTTTTGGTGTTCTTGCTATGTTTTTAGGCAGAAGTTCGGCTAGTTCTTTACTGGAAGTGTGAAATTGTTGCTCCATTTTCTGCCAAAACAACTGAGCTAACGCAACCTTTTCCCCAGGGTTATCTGTTGCCGTCCCTTTTTCTACAGTAAATGGAAAAACTCCGTTTTGAATCCTTCGAAGACTTTTCTTGCCTTAAAAGAAGTCAACCCCAGGATTTTGTCGACTTTTAAAAGGTCATTCTCTAAAAAAATGGGAAAAACACCGAGCTCACACATTATCAACTCGCTAGTAGGTGAATATTGTTGAATAGTCCGAGATAGCGAACCAATCAGATTGCGTAAATCACCAAGACCACTGAGTGCGTGTCTACTAATTTGATTTGTACCACTGAGAAACGTTGACTAACTGCTCAAAAATTGTGTTAAAAGGATAGGTTTTAAGAGAATACGTCTGAATGCGTTTGTTTATGGCCTACTCTTCCTTTCCTGTCTTAAAATTGGGTATATCTCAGTGATTGGCTCAATGTATTATACGTGGTAAAGTGTTACAGTAAAATAAAGTTTTTGTAAGATATTGACAGTACTATTTATGCATTAGACTAAAAAGTTACTGTACGACATTGTATATTATGTCTGTAGTATTTTTTACAAATTCATATACTGGGAATACTGTCTTTTGTATCTTTTTTTGTGAATTGTTGTAAATATATTTGAAATCAGCTAATATCTGTAATTTTTTTAGTTGTACACTTCCTGAACAGTAGCTGCTAGCTAATTGGATACGAAGGAGTAGAAAGTGAAGCAAGGTTTCCACAGATCGCTGTCATCGAGAATATCTCTGTAAAAAATTTCAGCAATCTGCAAGATCGTAGTGACTATATGGAAATATGTATGCTTCACTCAAACTATAACCACAAGTATCGATTACCTTATTATAGGAAATTAACGCGAATCGTTAACATTCGCGTTAATTTAAGTCGCGTCAATTTCCAATACCTTAACTTCATGGAGATGGAGCGTTAATTTCCTGTAATAAGGTACATAGCTCCTCTTGCTTTTCTGGATAAATCGTTACAGGAAAGTATCACTAATTTACGATTTTAGCTTTCAGAGTGTATACTTGAATACGGTTTTTACGGTAGCCTCCCACGCAGACGTTCTTAGGGGTTCGTTACGCGCGTGGGAGGCTATTTTTACGGTAGAATGCATAAAAAATGATGGCTTTACTTTTAGTAATGAAAGTTTTTTTAAAAAAACTCTTTTTGTAACCTTGGCATTTATTTTTCTTTTTAAGTATTTTTAGAAGTTCCTTTTTTCTAACTTGCTTTTTTTCACCAGAAACGTGTGGAAATTTGTATGCTTCACTCAAACTATAACCACAGGTATTCAAGGTATATTTCCGTATTCAGGTATATTTCCGTTGATTTTCAGAATGATTCATTGTTATTTTGTGCAGTTAATTCGGATTTCCCTCACGAGCGACAAAGAATATCGAGTTTGGGGCATATGACGGGGGAAAGATACCCTGGTCCTAGAGGTTTTTCTTGACATTTTTCTCCGCGTGAGTGAGAGCGAGCCGGGAAGCGGCCAGGAGGGAGAGAAAACCTCTGATTACCTTGGACGTGAATCTCACTTTCATGCAGAGGACAGGGTCAGGATTTGACCCTCGGGCGCTGATAGGTTGATATTTTTATGCCGTATTTATTCCATTAACCGTCCTGGGCGCTTATTAAATTTTTGGACCTTGAGAGTGGGCGCTTATTCGGGGTGGGCGCTTACTCGAGGCTGGGCGCTTATTAAATTTTCATCATTTTCAGCAAGTGAAGTACTTTTAAATGCTAATAGCAAAACGCGAAGAAGTAACAAAGCAAGGTTTCTGTAAAATACTCTGAAGAAAACTCCGTCCTCGGGGAAGTCTCTTATTAGAATTTATTCACTGGGTGGGTGGGGTGAGGTGAGCGCTTATTTGAGTTTGATTGGGAAGAGGAGGGGGTGAGCGCTTATTCGAGGCTTGGCGCTTATTAACTTTTCCTTCCTTTAGGATGGGCGCTTATTCGAGATGGGCGCTAATTCGAGTTTGGGCGCTTATTCGAATGAATATGGTAAACACGCTAATCAATTTGATTATTTCGTTAAACTGGAGCTACCGAGGGGATTGAGAGGATGTCTCTTACCGCTGTTCTTGAGGTAAATTTTGTTTGAGGAAAATTGTTTGTAAAATACTGCAAGCGTAGTGCATGTAATATGCACGTAAACAAGGTGAAGATCCAATTGACATGAATGTTGTTCGAAGACATTTTGACCCCAGTATTCGAGGGGAGGTTTTCTGAGGTCGAAAGTCTCACCGAGAAACAAACTGAAAGCCTTTTTCGTAAGCTACACGGCTTGTGTTTTTGCGGTCTACCCCCGCTGAAAAAAAGTAGCGGCTGATAAGCACGTGTTAAAGTTGCCATTGTTCACTTTAACGCGTTTGACAGCTGTCATCTTCACAAAACTGAGATTGAAGGTCAAGTCCATAGCCTGCGTAACAAGTGTTTCCCCGCGAGTTCGTCGAGAAAGTTGGGACGAGAGCAAAAAAAAGGAGGGGAAAGAAGGAAACGCTTGCCCGCAAACTCCACGATTTTGAAAAACTGCGTTCGCCCACGAACGCAGCTTCTGATTGGTGCGGTGCTAGTAGTGTTGATTTCTTAGCAATCGAAACATCAATCAAACCAGGGATGCTTTGTTTTCACAGATCTGGTCTCATCTGAGTCATCTGATTTGTGGTCGCAGATTACAAATGCTTTGGACTGCTATTTATTTGAATCGTGTTTGTGCGAAGGTTTATGACATCAGAGTCTTCAAAGTATAATTGGAGATGGAGATCGAGCAGTGGAGACTAGGGAAGGCCAATTTGAAGCCTGCGTAGCAAGCGTTTCCGTGCAGTTTAGGAGCAAAGAACGAGGAAGACCCGAGGAACGAGAGTCAAACACCTCGCGAAAAATCGCGTAAGTAAAAGAGCGGGGAGGGGGTATTCATTTCTCGCGCGGCCAAAACCGAGAATCCCGTTCCTCGGTCCCTCTTTGCTGCGAAGCCATACGGAAACGCTTGCTACGCAGGCTAGCCAATTTATTGGGAATGACGGCGAGCGGATCTGACTGTTTGTTGGAGATAACATCAATGTAAATCAGAACATCGGTACTCGACACTAGTTAAAGCCGTCATGGACAAGCGATTTGTCAGCTTTTTGAAATGAAAAGATTCTTTTTGTTTATTGGAAATTTAGCGGCATGTATTGTATAGAACGTTTCGACACAGGCTGAAGAGCAGCCGCTCTGCAAAACTTTTACCCGGCGGAGTGAATTGTTCCGGACAAATCATTTTTGACGTTTCGACAAGGTTTCAGACGAGATAAAGCCACACAATAAAAAACAAGAGATTCCGCAGCAACCGCTCAGAGTTTTAACCTTCTTTTGTCGTAAACCTTTTTTATTATAGTTTTTGTAATCGCCTGGAACGTTTTCTATTAGAGAACAAAGTAATCTTTATTCTTACAAATCTGGTAATCAAGGGGTAATCTGTTCGGGATACTTCTGTTTTGACGAGCTGTCAATTTACAAATGAACCGAACCGTGAAATATCAAGGGGCGTTTTCCAGAATCATGAGGTTGGCGGGCAAGTGCTTCCTCTTCTCCCCTCCCCCTCCCCCCTCCATTTTTTTTTTGCTCCCGCTGTGCGCAATAACTCGATTGGAAACGCTTGCTACGCAGGCTATCAAGTCCACTGCCTCCTAGAAGTGGCTCTCTCTCTCACGAGGAGAAAACTTTCAAGAAAAACTTCTGGGACCACCAATACAATGCTAGGATCACCAAGTTTGTTGGCGCATGGCAAGCTGCACCAGGGAGGTGAAACTTTCTCAAAGTGCGCATGACCAAAGTGGTAGACAGACTGGTAATTGAAGTCAGCAGCTGCCTTGCAGCGCTTCATCTTGTCACTCACGGTCACTACCAGGTTTTTGATCCAGTTGTAGATTTTTGAGAGAAATCGTTTCTTTTAGAGCTGTTCTCGCGCACCATGTCCATGTGGAATGCTTTATCACGTAGTCTGGTCCAGCCATACTTCTGGCCCTGTTTAGAGACGAGAAACCGTTATTACAACTGATTATAATGCGACTGAGAGGGAATAAAGATGAAGCCTTGAAAAAAGAAGGTTTAACCGTTATATAACTCTCTGAGCTATAGTAGACATCGTCTTTCGATACATTGTACGTTTGTTACGAGCTTAAAACTTACACAGCTGTAACAGACATCGTGCTTGTTGCAAGCGGAAGTGAAATTTGTCTTGTAGATGAACGGAAAATCGCAAGGAATGCTGCAGCCGTTGATGTGAACTGGACACGAGGACGAGTTTGTTTGCGTTGATCCTTCAGCGTGCAGAGACAGTAGAGATAGCATCACATGGAGGGCCAAGACTTGGATCATCGTTATCACGTGACTCACTTTTCTGAAATGAGAAAGGGAAAAGACAATGCCAGTTACTAATATTCGATGTTATCTTTGTTATTTTATCTGAAAATGGTAAACGATTTGTTATAACTTGTTTTGGTGGTACCCTGCTTGTCTGTTGGTATTAGTTTTACGAGTGTTTTCATGAAAACGTTTTCTCTAAAAACGGTTTTCGCAAAGCTTTTTGTAGAGAGTATGAAAATAAAATCAGGTAATAGGTAGGATCTCTAAAGCGTCCAGTTTAAGAGATTGCTAAAAATGGAAACCGCGAAGAGACATTCAATGCTTTTAAGATCTGTCCAAAAATATGCCTAGCATGTATGCGCTTGAAGCGGATTGGATCGAACTGATCTGACACCGGCGGTGTTCGACAAAGGAATTGGTTGTACCCTTTGTAGAGCCATTTGTGGCTTAGCAAAATGGGTGCCTTGTGTTCCTAAACTTTTCTTCGATGACGGTCTCATACAAAGTACTCACCATGCAGTTTCGTTTATCTTGAATACTATTGATGTATTGGGAAGTTTATCTGCGGCTCCGGCTACAGATCGCAATGATTTTCTGAATTTAATGGTGGTCTCTTTTTGACGAGACCCACACGAGAACACGGTTCTTCTGAGACTTATCCATATGTTTTTATTAATTGCTTTTTGAATCTCAAGTGCTTAGAGTGCTGCCAATGCTCAGAATTGTGAGCGGCACGTTATTGATACACAGTATTTTCTGTCAGCTAAGTAAATTTTGAACAATTTTGTACACAAACAGTCATACCAAAAAGCTTTCTTGCCCTAAATGAAACCTAATTGTCGCAAAGGTGAAAATGGCAACCTGCTAGAGCATCTCTAGTGGGATTTGTGTTGACACAGGCTTGTTGGTTGACACATGCAGGTCCAAATGTTTCGACAATTCTCAGCAATAATTCTCGAAAAAGCAAATGCCGGGAAGATTAGTAAAACACGTCCTCCCGGCATAACTAAACAGGAGCACCCAACGTCAATTTTTGGAAAATATCTGTTCAGAAGACGATTTGAGATCTAGAATTTTCGGAACATTTGTTGTAAAATTTCTTGCTTGCCTGCCTCTCCTAGGATTTTCGAACATCTAAAAAATGGTATAATTGCCCATTTTTAACGGATTTTTACCCCAAAAAGGTCACCTAGAATTTTCGGGAGCCTATTTTCTACAAGTGAAATTCTCGAAAAGGTAAGTTTTGATCCCTATAATTTTCGGATCACTAGACTTTCAGCTAGGAAATCCGAACAGATGAAAAATTTTTAGGGGATAAAAATATGCCTATATCTACCGTTGAAATACTAAAATACGTTCAACAATGCATGTTTAAGTGGTTTTGAACTATATTCTTGTTGGGTGGCCCTGACCAAAAACAGATATATTTTGCAGCGGCACACATATGCCTGATAAAGTGTAGCGTCTTACTGCCTTTTTAATCTCTAGCTCGGATTAAAAAGATTTGTTTTTCAATGTTTTTACAGTGCGACTACTCGGACCGGGGCACTTGGAAGAAGATTATCCAATCACAAAGTTTTTTTGGAAACAATGGATTCTCAAGTTTTTTTTGCAAACAGCCAATTAAATTCAAGGTTCAACTATGCAACCGATGAAAACTTAAAAACCCGTTTGAACTTACCTGACCTCTCTGGAAACAGCCCGTAAATTTATAAATGTTATTGGTCCGTTTGCAACAAAAAAAACTTGAGAAAAAAACCTGTTGTGATTGGATAATCTTCTTTCAAGTGCCCCGGTTCGAGTAGTCGCACTGTAATTGTAAAGTTGTCAAAATGTTATCCTTTCTTTCTTTGAAACAGTGTTTTATCTCAAGTTATCATAAGGTCATTGTAAATCTCACGTAAGAATTACAGAGTCCTTGAGGCGCATAAAACAACCGCCGACTGTTACCCTCGATTACTTCCTACAAGTGCCGTTTCCCTATCTGTTTCTAAAATCCGCCCGAGTATATCAGTCTACTACTCTCAGCTGCATCAAAAAAATTCCTGCAAAAACATGTCATCTGTGTAAAGTAAAGTCCCAGCGCCTCCAATACCGAAAATATCAGGTCTATACGGTTTTTATGCCTATGACATCACATCTTACATGTATTTGGCGAAACCCCCGCCTGTACATACTAAACGAAGGGGATTAGGCAGTTAGGCTCGCCATATTTGACAACCGAAACAGACATACCCACGTCATAACATTATATATCAGTTCAGTCCCCTCCCTTCGCTATTCATTGTTGTTCTGTTTGATTAAGGTGATTAGCGTTGAGACAACGCCCATCGAGTGCCTCTACTTTCTCCCATCGTCTTCTCTTTTGTGAAAGTGGGTCTGCCAGTAAGTAAGATAAATAAAAAACATTAAAAAAAGGCAACCTCGTCCCCAGGGCTTTTCCCTCCCCACCCATTTTTTGAGGGAAAAGCCCTGGGGACGAGGTTGTAAAAAAGGAAACTAAAAGCCCGTAATTTTGACGTCAGATTTGTTATATGAAACGGTGAAACCTCCGACGAACCCCTTTATGAGAAAACCCCAATATAATGAATTAAATTTGCGCCTCAACATCAGTGGCCGATCCAGGGGAGGGGCCCGGGGGGCCCGGCCTCCCCTTATTAGAGACCTTAAGATACGAGGACGGGAAGATCTAGGACGGCTACCGGAAGTGAATTTGACCTTTGACACATACGCACGAGTTACCACGCACGAGTAGCTACCGCCCAGCTCATTCCCGTCCAGCTCTCGTAGAGGACGCCATTTATGCCTTTTTGCCGTCCTGTCGAGAACGTGAGTATTCTTCTTTTTATTTTGATTCATAAAGTACCAGAAGCGACCGTTTTTTTAGGTTTGGAAAAAGTATTTCATGAAGGTGACATTTGCCGTGACTTCAAGCGATAAACTGATAATTGCCGTGTGGAAAAAAGTATGTAAAAATGTGTTTGTTTTTGTCTCAGTGTCCAATCATCATTAGTGTTAATTCAGCCAAGAGGATCCATTCTCCGTGAGTATTGTTAAACTAAAAAATTATAATAGCATCAGTTGGTCTTAAATTCAGTTGCCAGCGACTAAGTATTTTTTCTTTCGTATATCTGTTCATGGCATAAAGGAGATTGTCTGATGGAGTTCACAACAGCAATAAAATCGGAAAGTGCAAAAACATAAGCGTATTTTATTAGTTCTTCATTTGTGTTTATTACTATCCCTATAGCTGCGAAACAGAAGGTATAAACATTTAACCGGTTGGAATTTGGCTCTCACTTAAGGTGACTCGACCCAGTTTTTTTGGGGGGGGGGGTACCATCCTACTTTGAAGCTCTCTGGTATCCCCACCTTTACCTTTATCGTAAGTCTAACACATAGAATGGATAACATATAGATCGATCTACAATATAACATAAAATATTTGGCGATCGGAGTAAATGTCACGTGGTTATAATGCCACGCCCCTTTGAGGTCTGAGTCGAAAATCAGCTGTTGCAGGTATTTTTTCGTGAAAATCTCTCGGCTACACATAGCGCGCATTAGTGCCTTACGCTCAACAGAGTTTCACCAAAATCGCAAAGACCCAATTCGAGAAATTCAGCGGTTTCCAAATTTAGGTCATAATTTATGCGAAAATGATAAGCAAACTTTACACGGATTATATCTAATAAACTACGAGATTCATCTCTTTATTTTGGGCATCGTTATAACAGATGGGTCCTTGCAAGTCAGCAAAACGCTTTAGGGCCTTGTAAATGCGCGCGATTTCGAGCAAAGCAAACATATAGGGATTATAGTTTTCGCTATTTGTTGACGTTTGTCAGCGTTTAAGAGTCTTTCTCACGAAAAAAGCATTTTCTTAAAAATTCGTAGTTTTTTTTCCTTCAAATTTTTTCAGGGCCACAATTGATTAACTAACTACCCGGACTCTGAATTTCGTGGTCATTGAAAAACTGTGACCGAGATATGATAGTTTTGGTACAGTGAGACAGGCCATCGCGTAATACATACAGGTTTAACTCACAATTTTTAATCAATTCTCGTGCTTCTTGTACCTTTGCAAAAAAATCAAGAAGCGCTACACACTAAATCTACTTACTATTAAAAAAATATCATTTTTTCATAGGTTTAATGCAAGCCAATAATTAAACCAACTCGTGACGGGAATATCTCGGTGAGCATTCGGAAGTCAGCCAAGCGTGGTCATTGCACACGTGCTGAACAAGAATGCTGTATAATGACAGACTAGAAACAATAGACAACTCCCAAAGCACAAACTCAGCCAAAACGCTAAAAATCTTCAATGTTTACTCAAGTTTGGGCTTATAGAAGATAATGTCACAGTTTTTCAATGACCATGAAATTCAGAGTCCGGGTAGTTAGTTAACCAATTGTGGCCCTGAAAAAATTTGAAGGAAAAAAAACTACGAATTTTTAAGAAAATGCTTTTTTCGTGAGAAAGACTCTTAAACGCTGACAAACGTCAACAAATAGCGAAAACTATAATCCCTATATGTTTGCTTTGCTCGAAATCGCGCGCATTTACAAGGCCCTAAAGCGTTTTGCTGACTTGCAAGGACCCATCTGTTATAACGATGCCCAAAATAAAGAGATGAATCTCGTAGTTTATTAGATATAATCCGTGTAAAGTTTGCTTGTCATTTTCGCATAAATTATGACCTAAATTTGGAAACCGCTGAATTTCTCGAATTGGGTCTTTGCGATTTTGGTGAAACTCTTTTCAGCGTAAGGCACTAATGCGCGCTATGTGTAACCGAGAGATTTTCACGAAAAAATGCCGGCAACAGCAGATTTTCGACTCAGACCTCAAAGGGGCGTGGCATTATAACCACGTGACATTTACTCCGATCGCCAAATATTTTATGTTATATTGTAGATCGATCTATATGTTATCCATTCTATGTGTTAGACTTACGATAAAAGTAAAGGTGGGGATACCAGAGAGCTTCAAAGTAGGATGGTACCCCCCCAAAAAAACTGGGTCGAGTCACCTGAATGTAATCTGTAACAGCTGATAGAATGTATACATCTTCCAGGTTATTTGATTCTCGACCAGACAGTATTTTGTCAGCAAAGCCTGTAAGCTGACATGTACGCTAACTAGTTAGTTTTTAATAGCGTGAACTTTTCATATTATATTCGTCCTTTTTTTGCCACGAATGATAATCATGTCAAGCATTTGTTAATGTTAAGATTTAGTCATGTTCTTATGTGGCTTTTGCTGATCTAATCTGCAGTCTGGGTTTTCAAGGCATAATTTAATTTTGTGATGATGTGTATCATGTTTTAGGAAACCAATGATTTGGAATGAAGAAAAGGATGAGCTGCTTTGTAGAGAAATCTTGGTTGTCAATGTGTTTTGTGGCACCAAAAGGAGTACTGTGGCAAGAGGGGCAAAATGGGAAAAGGTAGCTGAAAACCTAAACAAATCCAAGATGTATATTTTAAAGTGAATAAGAGGGCAGTTCGTGACCGCTATAACAATCTTGCAAGGAATCTGAGGAAAAAAAATCAAAAATGAAGAGAAAGCAAGTGGTATAGAGACTGAGATGAAAAACTTGGAGAAAGCTTTGGAAGATTTGATTGAAAGAGAGGATGCGGCTGAGTCTGAGCAGAGAGTAGTTGATGACCAGAAGAAACAAGATAGAGAAAATGCAACAGACATGAGAAAAATAGCAATGGAAAGTATTGGGCAGACAAAGAAGAGGAAAGAGTCCAATGATGATGAAAATGAAGGAAGAAAATTTAAGAAGAGGTCAAGTGGTAATGCAACAGTAGCCTATCTGAGAGAAAAAAATGAGCATCTTCAGGAAATGCATAAGGAAGAATTAGAAATGAAAAGGTTGCAGTTGGAAAGAGAAGGAAATTTGATGAAACTCATGGTCAGTCAACAACAACAGCAACAAAAACAGATGCAGGAGTTCCAAACCATGATGAGCATGCAAGCAAAGCAGCAAAGTGATTTGATGCTGGCTCTTGTCACAAAGCTGATTGACAAGCACTAGAAAAAACAAAGTGATCAGCTGACTGTTGTTGGGTTTGTTTTCTTTGTTAGGTTCTGGTTTGGTCAAATGTGCCTTTAAAATGTAATCAAGACAATTGGGGGTCATTGTTTAGGGACACAATGTTTTGAAACTAAAGTTCTTGTTAACAGAGAGTTTTATTAACTTTCCAACTTTATTATTTGTGAATCCCACTTTAGTTGTTACTTGTAGTATTCTCAAAATTAGAGACGTTTTCACCAAGGAAAGGTACTGGAGCCTAATAAGACTTTATTTCCCATAGAGCGAAAAAGTTAAAAAGTTTGGTTTTTGAACTAAGGGGCTGTTGTAAACATATCTATTTAAGGATTTTTATTACACTGCTTATTTAATTAAGGAGATTTTAACGACAGCTTTTGAATGGTTCTAATAAAGTTATTTAAGAGGAAATTCTTGGGATGTTAATGGTGGGTGGGCAGCCCGGGGGGGGGAGGGGGGGGTATTCGACAAATGTTTAGTAATTACTCCTTTCACATACTTTGTTTAGAACTTTGCATCCCCTTTAAGTGCTGTAAATGCTCTCTCTGTTAAAAAGAATTCAACCACAAAAATAGGACGACTTTTCAAAACCATAAAATTCATCTGTTAGCCCTTTTGGGCGGAACCTCCTCTTACAGGCCATCATGGTGAGTACCCCCACCCCAGGGTGGGCAGGGGAAACGGGTGGTGTGAAGAAAGTTGGGTAGTCTCGCTAACATAATATTGTCCCCATAAAAGTGAATGATCCATATGGCTTGCTTAATTAGTATCATTATAATATGCCATTGGTTTAGATCAGGGCCCAGTTGTTTGAAGGCCAGTTAGCGCTTAACCCAAGGTTAATTTCGACCTTAAGAGCATCCATTCATCAACTTGTTGACAAAAAGAATTAAACTGAATTTACTTTTTAAGCTTTCATATCTGAATTCAAATTTTCGAACTAACCCTGGGTTAGTATGAACAACATCCCGGCCCAGATAGCTATAGAAAAGCATTCAATTAAAATAATCGCGTACACTAGGAGGGTGTAAGGCAAAAAACTCTGATGTCGAATTGCCATACATTCAAGTCAAGGCATTGCGAAGAATGGCACATGCCATGTACATTTTCCCAACAGCACTCAGAGAAATTTTCAAGTTTTTTTTAAAGTCGAGAAATTTAAAGTAGTTTATAATGTCACCAAAAAGCCATTCTACAGAAATGCGCACGGCACTCATGGCCTTGTTGTACTCCTCCATGCGAGGCGTCATTCCTGCACATCTGTAGGGGACTTGCAAGTGGACACGCAGGGGATAAGCAGGGTCCCCATAAAGAGCCATTGGCTGTCCTCGAGAAAAAGCATAATGCTCCAGCTGTTGAAGAAGACCAGAATCTGCTAACATGGCAGAATCGTGTTTCTTCCCCTCTGGAGGATAACAGTGAAATAGATTAAATTAGAAGTAAGAGGATTCACAACAAAATATTTTTACATCAATAAAATGCTGCTATAATTTTAATTACCTACTGGGCCATACATGCTGGCTATTATACCATTCGGCAGTGCTACAGACTGGAACTTTAGGGCATGTACTCGCTTATGCCCATTATAAACGATCCTTTGATTCTCTCCAGGCTTACAAATAGGTCGCACCGTTCCATCAATAAAACCAAAACAATTGGACAATGGACTTCCTTTCTGGTATACTGCGTGGGCATAGGTTTCAAGTAATGCAGGACTCAGGAGCGTGTTATTCCACTGAGTAAGTCTATGATGATGTTGCTGGTAAATTGTATCCATGACGAGGTTTGAAATCATTCTAAGTTCAGGCACTGGACGAACAAATCGCTGAATCAAATCGCTGTATCTACAAGGATATGCAGCTCTTCTCAGTGCAATGCAAAGCCCTTCAATACCATCACATTTTGTTCCTTGTCGGCATATGAAAGTCTGGGGGAGCTGAAGGGCTTCCAGCAGAACTGGGATGTCAGTTTTATGAACACGAAATTCGGCAAAACACTCGCTGTCGTCCAGGTCATCAAGGGAGAATTCCCCGTAGCACTCGTACGGAAAATCGGGATTTTTAGACGTGTTTAAATCATAGAGAAGAAGAAATTCGTCCTCCGATAATTCTCCGTCATCGAAACTGTCGAGGAGAAGGTCGCGAACCTCCCTAAATGATGCCATTAAGTAAAGGACAACTCGGATTAATATTAATCCGTGGGTTATAATAATAATAGATTATAATATGGTTATTATAATCCGGTAATAGATTATTATAATCCAGCAATAGATTATTATAATCCAGTAATAGATTAAGGCACGGCAAAAATTGGAGGGATTAGATTATTATTAATAATAATCATCCGGATTAATATTAATCTCTATTATAATCCAGATCAGAGCTATGACAGACAAACTGCAGACATTACACGCTGAACAAGGGACTGACGGGACATAACACTGATCACATCAGTCACACGATCACTTGCATATGTTAGAGCTGGTAGCGATGTTGAGCCTAGAAGTAAATGAAAAGGAACAAGCGCCTCTGGGCCAGCGAATCCGTGCGGTGGGCATGTGTTTTTACAAGAAAGGGGACCTTAAGAAAGGGAATAACTACCAGCTGCGTAGAAATCGCAAAAATTGCGACCCATGCAAACTCTATTCTATTCTACGTTAAAAATCTTCATTGCCCTGCAAAAAATTCAGTTGCAACTGTATTACCAGCAGAGCTGAGACAACTGCCGACTTCTGCTACTAAAATATAATAACGTATAATAAGGAGTGTGGTTATTGACTGAATGTAATTAAGAGTTTTGTTCACAAACTACTAGCACAAGTAGCAAATTCGTCGTGGTTAGAATAGAATATTTTCTTTATTGAGACTTGTACAAATTTGAGCTATGTGGGATTATATTTATCGGATTAATATTAATCCTAATCGTTTAAAGTACGGCTCAAAGCTCAGTTATGGATTATAATAATCTATTACTGGATCTAATGTTAGGATTAATATTAATCTGATTAATATTAATCCTACATAAGATTAATAGTAATCCTAATTGATCAAGGCACGGCTCAAACCTCAGTAATGGATTATAATAATCTATTACTGGATTATAATAATCATTAGGATTAATATTAATCCGATTAATATTAATCCGAGTTGTCCTGTAAGTAGTCAAAAAATTGTAAACAATGATACGACACTGATCCGTCCTCGATCTCGTCCTCGCGTTTCTTAAGTTTAGTTTTGGCGCCTTGCGACGGTGAACTCTCCCCAGGTTTCCTCCGCCATGAACCCCAGTCCTAGAATGTCCCGTCCTGGTATCTTAAGGTCTCTATTTTTAGACCAAACTGAGGCCCGAAGGGCCGAAAAAATTTATTTTTTGAGACCGGGCCTCCCCCTTATCTCAGGGTCTAGATGACCTCTCCCCTCCCCCCTTATCTGAAGGTCTGGATCTGCCACTGAACATTCGTTATAATGAACGGTTTTTCTCGTCTCTTTCCCGTTTGTTATTTCGGGATTCTCATGTACAACATTTTTGTTTCAGTTTCTAATAACTGATTTACGTGACGATACGTTTTCAAAGGTCTTATGAAAGGGCCCATAAAACTTCTAAGGGCATACTAAAAGTAAAAAAGTAAGGGCGAATTCACTATGCAATAGTTCGGCTCTGGTGTGATCTTCTGTGTTCCAAAAAAATTTCATGTGTCCTCTTTGTGTTTTCTGAAGAAAACAGTTACAGAAAACACGCGTAGTATAGCAAGAAAACCGATAACAAAAAGAAAAACTTTCGTTTTTAGAGCGGGACTCGAGAATTTTCTTAACTGATTGCGAGGGCCTTGGGTATGAGTCCGGCCCAGTATACGGGAACTTTACAGAGCAACACCAAAATGGCGGACGTAGATGATAGAGGTTCGGCCGGTGACGAAGAAGGAGGCAAAGATCTCTGGTACTGAGATTAAAAGTGATCGTGCATGGACATTAAGCGTTATCCCTCTGTAATAACGATCTTCTATCGGTATTTCTCTTTGGCAGGTCGTCCATCTTAAGTGATGTTTCGAGTTCTGCAAGCAGAAAACTCCCCTCCAACAAGTCGATTGTTCTACTAGGTTCGTTTTCAGTTAGCTTTTTGCCTTCGTGTATTTTTAATTGTTGTTTTTGAAAACGACCATCTGCAAATTTTCTAGGGTACGATGGATCAGGAAAAACGACGCTAATATCAAAGCTTAGAGGAAAAGAAGACGAAATCAGCAAGGGTCATGGACTTGAATACACATATCTTGACGTTCACGATGAAGAGCGAGATGGTATGAAACCGTTAACTTAAACCGGTCGTCGAGGCATTAAATTGGCAACTAATTGTATTATTTACAAGGAGGTTTTAACTTTTTCCCCTTATTTTTTCAGACAGCACCCGGTTAGGTGTTTGGATACTGGATGGTGATCCACTTCATAAAAATCTTCTGCAATATGCACTTACACCTAAATGCATTAACAACACTTTGGTTGTACAAGTTGTTGATATGTCTAGACCATGGACAATTATGGAATCTCTTCATTCATGGACGGAGGTTCTACGAGAGCATATTCACTCGCTCAAGTTACCGCCGAAAGAACTGAATGAAATGGAGGAAAGAAGTGAGTCTAATGGATTAATTTCATGCTTATAAAAATTACAGTGTACAAGTCATGTACTTTGTTATTGTGATAGACATTGTTAAAAATATTTTCATTGTCAAGCGTGCGTGTCGGATTTCTTAAAAATTGCTATTTATATAGCTGTTTGACAGATATATGGAGTTGTCAGTTTGTTAAAAACTCATAAAAAATCGCAGTTCATGCGATGTTTATTCGTCCCAAGTTTTATTTTAGACACTGAATTTCAGTGGCGAGATCGATGTTATAGTGTTAGAGAGTTTACCTTCGATACTTGTTTGGACAAGTAAAAGCTTTTCGAATGGAAAAAAATAGGTTTCCTTTAGATGAAAACATAATCATTCCCAACAAAGCTTGATTGAGGGTAGTTTTGGACCCTAACATTCAATTGTAATAAGAACGCTAATGCGATTGCAGAGTGATAATATTTTAGTTAGAAAAGAATGTGTGAAAATATTATCGTCGTTAATAATATCTGTTTACTTTCGTTCGAAAGTGGTTAAAATATGATCTGTAACGATTTTTCGAAAAAAGTGGCCTGGATTTTCATTGTTAATGTGTGAGTTTAAGTTGAATTTAACCGTTGGGGATGACGAATCTCATGTTTAATTGATATAGGTGTTGAGATACTGCCCTTCAGCAAAGTGCATTATATTGCTTTAGCTAGTTTCAGAATTACTAATTCTAACCTGCATATACTTAAAGTGCATTTTGTTATTGTCTGTAATTTCCTAGAAGGGCAGCTCTCCGCATCTTTGGCTTAACCATGCATAAAAATATTATTATAGATTTTTAATTGTACATGTAATTAGCAAATGTTTTGGGGAGCATTGTGTTTCCTGGCTGCAAAGAGATGTTGAGCCAAAGTATACGGACAGCTCTTTTGCTTGCAGCTATTTTGAAATGAAAAAGATAACAAATCAGTGGCACCCAGCGACAATTTTCGGAAAATATCTGTTTGGAAGACGATTTGAGATCTAGAATTTTCGGAACATTTGTTGTAGAATTTCTTGCTTGCCTGCCTCTCCTAGGATTTTCGAACATTTAAAAACTACTGTAATTGCCCATTTTTAACGGATTGTTACCCTAAAAGGTCACCTAGAATTTTCAGAAGCCTTTTTTCTGGCTGAAATTTTTGAAAAAGTAAGTTTTGATCCCTATAATCTTCAAATCACTAGACTTTCAGTAAGGAAATCCAAGCAGATGAAAAATTTTTAGGGGATAAAAATATGCCTATATCTACCGTCTAAATACTAAAATACGGTTAACAATGCTATGTTTAAGTGGTTTTCAACAATATTCTCGCTGGGTGTCCCTGACAAATGCCATTTTTAAAAGGTTTGAATGAATTTAATGATGGCAGTGTTTCAAGGAAGACAGACAACTTCAAACTGTTGTTTCTGTTGCATTGTGTGACAGTTTAATTTAGTGGTTAGCTAGCAGACAACTAATGAATCATGTTTATCAAATTATGGCTCTTTGTATATATATAGTGTTTTTGAACACAAAATTATCGGCTTCATCAAAACGCAGACTTTCCTGACTGATCCTCACCAAAACACTCTGTGAATAATGACAAAATACAGAATACATTGAGGCCTCTGGTTTGCTCGTAAATAGTCGGCTGGTGTGAGTGGAGCCTTTGGGGGTTCTTACTTGTTATGCGTAATTTGTAAAGTTTGTTTCTGTTAACTGTGAGCCATGGTGGGAAACTAAACCCCTAAAGATTTCTTATTCTTTTTTGTGGTTCAGTGACCTTAATTATATTATTTTTTCTCCTTTTCTACCACAGTTGTGCGGCACTTTCAGGAGTATCTTGAACCAGATGAAACAGTAGAAGACAGAAGACGATCTGGGATAAAAGATGAAGACAAAGTTCTTTTACCACTTGATGAAAATGTTCTTTCAGATAATCTTGGTCTTCCTATGGTAGTTGTTCTTACAAAGGTAAGTATGATACACAGTCATCGTCCATTTATCCCCTAACAGTGATTAGCTTTAAGGGACAGCATCTAATTTATCCTTTAAATACCTCTGCTTAATAATGGTAATAGGACTGAGTGGAGTCCTGCATTACAACTTCACGCCGATTTAAGTGTGTATTTCAGAAATGGGCATAACCGCTGGATTTTGTACCCTGAAGGCTCAATTTATTCCTCCGGACTTTCCCTTCGAGAGTGCTCGTTTTGACTCAGTTCAGAGAAGGTGAGATTTTATGGCAGAAGACTCAGAAGCGAATTCAAAGGAATTGAACAATGGCTTAATTAAGCTGCCCAGGGCCGCGAATTTTTCAAGGTATCCTTTTGTTCTAAGTGTGTCAATAAAACTGCAGAGAATTATCACACATATAATTGCGGTAGAAGTTTATGGATTTAAGTCTTTCGCAAAACTTCTTCGACTTGGACACGTATTTTTCAAAAAGTTGAATTTTGAGAGCTTCAAAAAGAGATCTTGAACGAGAAATTTCGACCACTGTGGGCCGAGATTGGATTTTTTTTCTTGGCGAGGTTTCAAAGTACAAAGCAAGCCGCTGAAGCATTTTTTCTCGCCTATCGCTTAATAAAATCCCGGCCGAGAGTTATCCATTCATTCAATCATAACTCATTTCTCCAGAGCAATGAAACTATACAAGCGTTTCTACAAAATTATTTCGAGGAATTATGAACTCCGCAAGTTTTGATCAGTCGATTACAGCTCTTGTTTTGATTTTAGGTACTTCCCGTCTCACTCGACTACTCCGCGAATCAAGTTGTCATGCAAATCGGTGAATGGACAATATGCGGTTATTTCGGGCCCTGCAGTCACGTAACTGAAACACAACGTTTTGTTCAACAAAAAAAAAACTGAAAGGCAAGCGAAAACGTCCAAAAAAGTGAAATTACACTCTAATAAAACTGTGTCATCCCATTAAATGCATTCACCGCTTGCGTTGTTTACATTTTGAAAAGAGTTGTTCGCTCTTGATTGCAGAGCTACTGAATGAATAAAACGTTCTAAGAAATAACTTCCGCAGCAATTCTTTAAACGCCAAATTATTTTCAAGGCAAGAGAGTATTTAATAAAAAAAATACTATTGGAGACCAGGTATTTATAAGCTTTAATCAACTTCACATTTATCAGGCTTGTTTCCTTTGTTATACGGTGCGTGACTGAAAATATGTTATGCAACCAGAGCTGTCCGCCACGCTTAAAAGACTTGTAAGCGTTCCCACAGACTGCAGCAAATTTAACAGGCAAGTCCGAGTATTTTAATGGATAAATTTAATACTCATCAGGTAACAATGGGGATTAAAAAGTCAATCAAGGAACAAAATTCGAAACAAAAGAGACATATCGCACCTAAATCAAAGGAATTCCGCTCGTGGATTCTTTGGAAGGTAATCGACAATGGCAGGAACAATAGCCTGAATATATGAATACTTGATGACCCCAAAATTTGGGGTACACACTTAAATCGGCGTGAAGTTGTAATGTGTTTGGCCTGTAATACAAGTGATAAACAAAATCTGAAGACTGCGTAGCAGAAGTCTGATTTGTTTAATCACAAGTATGATTACAGACTGAATTGGACAACATGAAGTTCGGTTACCAATTAATGATAACTGTAACAAAATTTGTGATATTTTAGGGTTTTGAAAGAAATTTTGAGCGTTTTATAGTTGGCAGTAAAAAAAGCCATTCAAGTACATGCATGTGATGGTGCTTACTGTCCTATTAGTGCTGAAATCAGGACAGTTGATAGCCAATCAGATTTGAGAATTTTTTTATATTCATGATTAGTCACATAATATGTTATGGCCATAAAAATAAAAGATTTCTTTAGGAAACTTCTGTCAGGGCTCTATTGGCCATCGGGCATGTGAGCATCCACTGATGTAAAGTACTTCCTTGCAGGGAAATCTGCTTATCCCAGATGACTGGAAGTGACTATATTTAAGTCCCATCTGATTTATTTTCCTAACCAAGCTAAGTAGCTTTATAATTTTACCCTCATCAGGGGTTCTCAATGAGAGCTTGCAGTCAGTGAAATTCGCCAGCTATTTTACATGAACTTGCCACCTACTTTTCTTTGGAAAAAAGGGCCCAAAAGTTCCAAAATTTGATGTTCTCTTTGTTCTGTTCAAACACTCTAATTTTTGCTCCAGAATGCAGGAAATGCACTCTAAGCGGCCCAGATTTCAAATTTTTTTCTCCCAAGTAACTTGCATTGTTGGTGCTCGCAAGTTGGACCAGTGGTGTGAGTTTTTTCCTTCTCTGGTACTCCAAAGCTTTTGCTACCTACTTAAAACCTTATTGAAAACCCTGCCTGATGTGAGCACAGTATTGCATCAATCTTGGTCATTTCATAATAACAGAGTTCTGTTGATGTTGTGGTATTTCAGACAGACTGCATGTCGGCACTTGAAAAGGACAGAGATTACAGGGAGGAGCACTTTGATTTTATTCAACAGCATGTGCGAAGGCACTGCTTGAAATGTATCCTCACATTTATCTTAGCTTTAATTGTTTAGTTTATTACAGTCAAACCTCCTGTAAACCCACCCAAAATGCAAAGATTTAGTGGTTGCTTACAAGAGTAGACCTGCAGATGGTCTCTTCTGAGACATACTAATAAGTTTTAGCAGGGAATTTATTGTATGCAATTTCTAAGTGACGTCTTATGTCTAGTTCTATGTTGTCATTGAAAGTTTTTTGCCTGTGAGTAGAGTAGAACATAATAATGAATGAAGGGATCACATCTACACCATGCGTTAAGTGGTTGCTTGCAAACAGTGGAAAACAGACATGGAAAACTATAAAACCATCGAACCAAAAAGTGGCTGCAGTCATTTATGAGATGTGGATGTTTATGAGAGGTTCTAATTATGGGGCTTTGATTGGGAAATTTAGAGTATTTTAGATAGATTGTTGCTTACAAGACATGGTTGCACAGGGAGGTTGTGCAGTTTTTCTTTTTCATTAAAAAATGTACATTAAGTAAAAGAAACAACTTATGTTTCTACATATTTATTGTTTTTGTATGGTGGCGTGTCTGTCAGCACTGAAAGGTTCAAATATGTGTATTCTATCCTTAGTTTAAATCTTATTTTTCATTACATTTTTTGAAATTTAATCAAGGATGAAAATGAACCACAACAAAGCATTTAGTACTGATTGAATCTTACAAATTAAAATGTGTGGTAAAAGCTCTGAAGGTATTTGTGGTGGTAGATATATGCTAGGGGGTGGGGTGGGGAGGTTAATGTTTCTTAATAATACATGCTACATCCTTGTGTTTGCTATTTACATTGTGTAGTTTTGTGTATTTACCATAAGGCTTCATCTACATTCCTAGCATTCTGTTCTTGTATTGCTTCCTTGATTCATATTAGATGGTGCCTCCTTGTTTTACACATCTGTGAAAGAAAATAAAAACTGCAGCTTATTGTACAAATATTTAGTTCATCGAATTTATGGCCTGCCATTCAATAGTCCCGCTCTGGTTGTTGACAAGGAATCTGTATTTATGTGAGTTATTCCTAAATTGTGTATACCTATTTTGTTCTTGTACTCAACTTTTAATAATGTGCATGGCAGTACAGGTTCATTAAAGCTGAATGAATGCTTTTATTCAATTGCACCTAGAATTTTCCGATCATTGTACGTTTCACGTAAACTGCCCACCTACCCCTCCCCTAAGCCAAAATTTTGCCCTAAGTGAGAAGGATGTGTTTTGCTTAGGGGAGGGGTAGGTGGGGAGTTTGCCAGAAACATACAATGATCCAAATTTTCTAGTGTACTGAATAGCCGGCCTCTTAATGGTCAGAGTAACTTGCTGGTTGTTTTATTACAGTTGTATTAAAGTTACAATAAGACAATTTAATGTTTTAGTGTATCCACTACAGGTGAAAATAAAATTAAGGTTTAAAATTTTTTAAACCCAGGTTGATTCTTTATTGCCTTTGTCCCCTGGCCATAATTGTTCATGAATCTGGGCTAGGAGACAGTGGATATTGAGAATCAAACTGGGTTAACAAATTTTAACCTGAATATAATATTGACCTGTAACATATCCAATATATCCAATATCATTTTCAAAAGTGAAGTAATTAGTTTGTGGTAATAAAACTGAGTGGATTCCAATTCAAAGTGTGATCCGTATACAGCAATTTTGTTACCCCTGCGACGTTTATGTCAATGTAAAAAAATCTCCGAAGACACAAAAACATGGCGAGCCAAATAAGAGAATTGTTTATTTACAACGGGGTGGAATTCAAGCTTCTCTTTCATTAGAAAGCACTTGAAACAAATATTAATTAGCACAATGTGGATTTGATAAACCATCTTTCACTGAGACCTGTGCTTAAAATGTACTGCAACAACTTCAACTGCCTTGTACATGAGTTGTTATTCATAAGGACTTAAAACCATCATTGCATGTCCAAACAGAGTCACTTTCTGTAAAGGTACTCTGTTCATTGACATACATGGACATATCAGCCCAGTCAAACTAATAATACCGTAAACTTCCAAATATAACCCCCGGGGCTTTTATTTTTCAAAGGCCGTTTTTGAGGGGCTGATCGTCGGAGGAAAATTTGTGTTCAAAATTCGATTGGGCCAGCTTTATAGTTGGAAGTAAATTTGCCTTTTTTGCTTTGTTTTACCTTGTATTTGAGGGCAATTTTCCAAGTACAAGCCCCCAGGGGCTTATATTTGGAGGTGAGATTTAACGGAGGGTTTTTTTGGTTACCAGATTGGGGGGCTTATATTTGGAGGGTCGTATATATGGAGGGGTTTATTTTTGGAAATTTTACGGTACCTGAACAGTTTTGCTTCGCAAGTTTTGCTGGGCCGAGTTGTTCAAAAAGTGGATAAATCTATCCACTGGATAAATCTCTACCTAGTGGATAGTGTAATTTATTACACTATTATTTATTATTATTTATTAGGATGGGGCTATCCAACATTTGAAGAACTGGGGCCTGGTCTATTATCCTTTGTGTTTTTTGAATACATTTTATTGATTACTTTACAGTCCAGCAGGCTGGGATTCTGTGAAGAAAATTAACATCCTGAGTGAGCATTTAAAAGTTATCTTGCCAGAGGATGCATTTGATGATCATATTGTTAAACCACAGCTGAGAAAGGTACAATCATGTGATTTAATGTAAATTGTACATTGTCTAATATAAAAAATTGTGTATCATGGTGTGTCTTAACATTGTGATTTTTTTCCCTTTGCAGCCCATACAAGACAAAGAAATTATTGCTGAGGATGAACAAACGTTTTTGGCAAAACAACAGGTTGGTTTTTTTCGGCATAGGTAATTTGAGGTTGTTTACTTTGTTTTGGTAAAAATTATTAGTAGCCCGTTTTTGATTTGCTCTCAGTTGAAATCAAAACAGGCATGAGTGTTTATTTTCAAAATGATATCAAAATTGCATGAACCTGTTGAAGCGTTTTGAAAAACACACATGTGCAAACGAAGAAGAGTTATATGATTAGCATTTAGTAATATACATGAGAAAAATTACCAGTGAAAATTAGTGGAAACTGTTTATAACGGCAACCCTCAATCTTGTCTAGAAACTGCCCATTCATACCAGAACCCAATCTTGGGCCATGCCAAGGTTGCCATGAGTTACAGCACCTGATTGGTTGTTATTATATATTGTTCTCAGCCAATCAGATTCAACAAATATTATTAAGTGACAAAAACATAATCAACATGAGTAATGTTAGGAGGTGTGGTGGATGGGTAATCAAATTCCAGTTTGGGTATAAGGGTGGTTTGGATCAATACTTATGCTTATATCCAAACATTGACAAACCACTGGGTCAAATTAGGTTTCTGGTAAACTGCCCTCCCACCCCTACCCTAAGCCAACATTGTCTCTTACTTCTCACTCAGGGCAAAATGTTGGCTTAGGGGAGGGGTAGGTGGTCAGTTTCTCAAAAACCTCAATTCAGATCTGGTTTGTCAATGTTTGGATATAAGCATAAGTATAAGCAAAACATAGTCGTCACTATAATAGCAATGCAAGCATGAACATGAGAAGTTTTGAGCAGGTGAGGACAGCTGCAAAAATATCAAAACCATGCTTGCATTCTTCTCATTCTCATGCTGATGCTCATGTCACGGCTGTCCTCACTAGGGCATTAGCTTCATTATTTTCATGCTCATACTTTATGCTTTATAAAACTGTTGTTTGTTTCCAAAATATTAAAACTATGTTTAGAACAAAATCACATACATGTTAAATTATTGCACATTTACCCTACCGTATTTATTCGATTAACCGCCCTGGGCACTTATTAAATTTTTGGACCTTGAGAGTGGGCGTCTCTACGGAGTGGGTGCTTGTTCGAGGCTGGGCGCTTATTAAATTTTCACTATTTTCAGCAAGAGTAGTATGTTTATTTTGCGACAAATCATAAAAAGGCAATAACAAAACGCGAAGATGTAACAAAGCAAGTTTCTGTAAAATACCCTAAAGAAAACTCCGTCTTCGGGGAAGTACTTATTCATTTTTGTTGGGTGGGAGGGAGAGGGGTTGGGTTTTGGTTGTGGGCGCTTATTTGAGTTTGAGTGCAAGGGGGTTGGTTGAGCGCTTAATCGAGGCTGGGCGCTTATTAACTTTTTCTGCTTTTAGGATGGACACTTATTCGAGGTGGGCGCTAATTCGCGGTTGGGCGCTTATTCGAATAAATACTGTATTTCGGAGGGTGAGATCAAAAGCTGTATTGTAACCTGTCCAATGTCACATCCTAGAGACAAGACAACACTTAAAGTTCGTTAAAGACCATTCCTCCTCCCAACAGATTTGTTTTGTTTTCAAATGTCATGGTTATCAAAACCATGCTTGGCTAATCTCTTTTGCAATGCTTTATTTTCTCTTGTGGGGTTAATTGGCAACAGAAAAAATCACTTTGGGACGTTCCTTACTTGTACTATTATCCTGTACTCTTTGAATTACTCTCTTAGAGTGCTGCCATATTGAAATGCTGTCAGCTGTCTCTAAGACAAACACCTTTGGAACCGGCAAAAGGAGCGCTTTCCATTCAACCCAAAATTCCAGAAATTTTGTTTGGTACATCAAATGGATGGTTTGGTCCAACCAGAATATTAGGGAATGGATTTTGTTGTCCACTTTTACTGGTCGGGTCATTTCGGTCGTTTGGACCGAAATGCTAGGAGGAACTTTGGACCGAAATGCTTACAAGTACAATAACCAAAGGCGCGGTGGCTTGGGTCAGGTCTGTGCCACCAGAATGTACCGTTCCATTGGGCCATAGTTAGTAGAGGGGACTAACTATGATTGGGCATGTGAAATATCAAACCGAAATTTTTGTTGAATGGAAAGCGCCCCAAGTGTCCGCCTAAGAGTGATGTCCATCTTATAGAGTCAAATAAAGGGAGTAAAGAAAGGCAGGAACCAACTTTACCCAGGAGTCTGTCTTATACAGGTGTCCGTTTAGAAAGAGCTCAATGTAGTGGGTAGAGTTTGAATTGGACAATGTTCTCTGACCTGTTACTCGTGTTGTATCTATAGCAACTGCTACAAAAGATGCCTGCCACAGTATCATCTGGAATAGCAAGGCAACAACCAGTAAGTCACTTACGTCTCTTGTTTCTGTGACTCAATTCTGATAAAATTCTTGCTCAGTTACTGTGGGTAACGTTATAATATATTTATTTTTACAATTATAACTGAGTGGTTTCTCAAGCGCTGGTTGCTTGAGAGCCGTGTTTGATAAGAGAATGACGTAATGGTGCTGCAATTTGTTTTTCTACCTGTCGCGCATGCGGTTTTCCGAGAAACTACAACTGAAATGGAAATAAACGCCAAAGTTGAGCGACCCGCCCGCTGCTCATGGTTCGGACGTTCCTCTTAAATAGTGAACATTTTGACGTCATTTCTATGGTCAATAAGAGTACATACGATAGAAAATTGTTGTCGATTTGTAAAATATCCGTTATTGACAAAGCGGTTGGTTAATATGGCTGGATATTGGCCAAGTTGGGTGTTGTATACGTTTCTGGGAACCTGCCCACCTACCCCTGCCCAAGGCCAACATTACTTCTCACTTAGGACAAAATGTTGGTTTAGGGGAAGGATGGGTTGGCAGCTCCCCAGAAACGTATGATCCACTTGGTCAATGAAGGCTTATTATCTGGTCAAGAGAAATTGCCGCTTCTCGCGGGACTGTTGGCCAAAAGTTTCATACTTTTTTACTTCTATATCAGGATATCACCAAGCCACGTGCCCCTATAAGCCCCAGTGGGAGAAGTACAGACAGAAGACCTTCAGCAGGAATGTCCCCTGTTCAAAGAGGACCAAAGGTAAAAGAGCATTTACGTCAGCCCTTTTTAACTCATAATATTTTCGCGGCACATTTTGTTTCGTGACCAGAGTTTTGAGTGGGTGGGGCAATTGCTCATCCTCATTTCCATCGCCAGTCCTTGGTGACAGAGGGAATCAGACCCACCGGCTTCCCCACGATGCAGTCCCACGTTTCCTTTAAAAGTTGACTCCTTTTACCATGCAAAATTAAGTTCGCGTTTGAAAACGTTTGAGTTAATTGTGAAGGGCGACGCATTTACGTTTCTTTATTAGTACTCGTTCTTGTGTTGGGTGCTACAACTGGAAAACTGGTCGAAAATTCTCCTTTATCTTATTACTCTTGAAGATCGTCATTGTAGTAGAGTTAATTTTGTTTTGGAAACGAGAACCCTGTTAAAACTCCGTCAACTCTCGTTGCGCAACATCAAATGGGGTTTTCTATAAATATAATTACGATAAAAGTGTGATGGTCAATTTTAAACCAGAGAGTGACACAGGCGGCTTGAAAGGAAAACGCCGAGTTCTCCCAACAAGAGTCGAACGTAGCTCATCACATGTATGATCTTCAGTTTACTAATCCATTTATACCTGTTTTCAGTGCCAGATCCAGACCTTGAGATAAGCTAGGGGGAGGGGTGGTCCGGTCATCCAGACCCTAAGAGAAGCGGGGGAGGGGGCGGTCTCCAAAACTTTTTTTCCTGCCGTTCGGGCCTCAGTTTGGTCTAAAAATGAGGGGGTGGCCTGTGCCCCGTGCCCCCCCCTGGATGTGCCACTGGTTTTAATGTGTGCTCTGTATTCTTGTATCTGTAGGTTGAAGGCGGTAAACCAGGCCCCGGTGGAGCCGCAAGTGAAGGAGTTTTGGCCAACTTTTTCAACTCGCTCCTTAATAAAAAGAGCGGTGCTGGAGGGGGCCCGGGTAGAGGCGGTACTGCTGTCAGAAGCGATGCGGCGGCTGAGTTGGATCGAATGAACAGGGCCAAGAAAATAGTCACACAAAACAATCCAGCAGCCAGCGATTCATCAGAGTCGTCTTAGAAGGTTTAGAATGCTTTATTATAAGCTCATAGTAGATATACGAACTATCAATCACGGACTAAGCCCTCCGGCGTCTGTGGAATTTATTTTGTACAAAGCTAGGCTATTTTAATTTGGTCCAGATATATTAAAGAAGAGAACAAGAACCAAATGTATTCCACAGGAAGGTAAGGGGGATTATTTCTTAGAGATGAAAGTGATGATAGGATATTTCAATAGAAGGTAAAGGTAACTTCAAACCAAACATTTACTGCTTTAATGGACGAGAACAAACAAACGAGTATTTGTGCCATGTGACAGAGTTTTCCCTTTATTGGTATTAGCTGTTCTTTACTTGTAGAAGAAAAAAATCAGTAGTTTCACGTTATTTTCATCCATAAGAAAGGTTTCAGACTGTTTTTATCTGCTTATTATATTTTGAGAAATTCTCAACTCTTGAGTCTGCCGTTTGCCTTTCGCCGTAAACATGACTCTAAATTTCTCCAGTGTCTTCAGTTTTTCCTGGGAGGACTTTAATACCCAGGAGAAATTGAAAACAAAGGTTATGCAAACAAGGTGTATTATAGGATATGTGCTAATGGCGAATGGTCGGTTTAGAAAACACATGAGCAAGAGGAACATCTAATCACGTGCAAGATCAGTAAAGTGTAAGCTGCACTGATGATCAGTTTTTGAGGCGGTTCTTGAAGCATGATCTCCCATCTCATTCGTTGTAACGTGGTTAACATGTCAAAAGATTTTAGGGACTCACGTTTAATAATAATAATAAAAAAAATTAACTGCCAACTAAGTGATAAACATGACAGACTGTATAGAAATTTTGTGTCTGCCTAGTTTGCTTTTACCGGAATGAAGAGAAAAGCATTCTAAGTGTCCTAATTTCTTGAATGTATCATTATTTAAAAATAAGTGAAAGTTTCAAGGATTAAATATTTTAGAGTTCTGATAAAACTGACGGAAATCTACTTTGACGACGCAGTATACATTTTTTTTATTCTGAAGCTGTAGATACTTGTTGAAACGAGACAAACTAAAAACGTACTAAATCTTAACCTGGCCTTTCTACGTGCGTTAAAATAACTGACCAATGGACCAACGCGAATCCTTTTGTCACTGCCACACAGATTTTTCTGTGGTCATGTTCGAAAATTGTCTGGGTTATTTACGAAAACAAAAACTGTTGCTGTGCGCGACATTTGCTTGAAAGGGGTAAAAAATTAAGATTTGCGTGATTACGCGTGAAAAAACAGTAACGTTCTACTTCCTAAAATGTCGCTTAGGACGCCCTATCAGTTTTCCAGTTCTAGCTCCTTAAGAGGCCGACCATTTGACTTTTCTGTAAAGGTGATTTGTCTTGTGTAATTTTATGTAATTCCTTTTCCTGACATACAACGGTGTAAGGTTTTTTCCAGCATTATACGCCATGAACGATATTTTTCAGTATAGGAAATTTTTTTCGCCAGGCATTATTTTCCTTGCAACAATTTTTTTCTCCTCGGAATCAGTCTGCAGAATATTTCTGAAATCACCGACCCCCTCAAAAGTCGGCTTGTCGGCCCTTAATTATGCTCTCTGAAGCGTAGACATGTTCTCTAAGGCCCTGTTCACACTTCGCAAAATTTTGTTTTTTGTGCCAAAAAAAACCTCTGTGAACAGGAAGCCATTTCTAGTGCAAAAGGTTTTTTTTTTCTACTATCACCAGACTTACTGATGCAGTCGAGAATATGTCAAGAATATTTAAAGGCCACAATTTTTTGTCACACGACAAAATCCTTTGTTGCTTGACAGCTATCCTATGTTGGGTCATGTTATTTCGCGAACATGGCCAATTAAAGTTTCTTTAATTTACGTTTCTGGTCATACCAAAATTTTCGCGTCTCAGGTGCGAACAAGGTTGCAAAAACGAAAAAAGGGTCATCACAAAATTTTCAATTACTTTTCCTAACGCCGAATTTTCGTCGTGGTGCGAACCGGGCCTAACTTCTGTTATTTTAGGGGTCGTTGTGAGGAGGAACCGCGCAACGCCCCTTCCCAACGCGCCTTGTGACTTGGCACACTTTTCAACGTGTCAGTTATGTCTATAAATTCTAACAATTTGTGTATCCGTTGACAAATATAGATAGTAGACTGTCCGCTACAGACATCGACAATAGTATTGGATTATTGAATGCTATTAAATAACTGTTGAGCGATTGTAGAAGTAGACTATTTATTGTAATTCTATGTATAGTGTTTAAATCTGTCAAATGTAACTATAACAGAAACCTGGAAACTGACTAATAAACCCCTTGAAATGTTTTCACTGTTTCGATTTATAAATCTTGCATTGCAACTCTTTGAACCCTTAAACCGCCTCTCTTCTCTGGTCCAAACTGAACAAAGTCACAAGTGACACAAGAAGTTGGAATTTTATTTTGCAAATTCCAAAGATTTAAATAATCATGCTCGAAAGTTCTACCAAAGAGGTGTTACTAGATATTTCTTTTCGATTATCTGACTTCTTAAAATGGGCATTTTTATAGTCGAAAAACGCCTGATTAGTCTCGCTTGCGTAAGCAGCGAGACTCATAATTTTCGCCCCGGGGGGAAGGGTAGTCCCTTATATAGGCTAAATAGGAATGTGCCGCACCAAAGGGTATTTTTTTTAACCGTTTTGGTTTGAAATAGGGTAAGGTTTGTGCACTCTAGTCTTGAATTGGGTTGTTTTTTTTAGAAGAATTAGTTACTTCTTCATCATTTGGCGATAAGACCATTTCCCCTTTAATGTTTACGCCAACTACCGTGTACGTGCTGTAACAGCTTGTCACGCGCTCCAGTCACGCGCCGGGCTCCAGGCTACAGGTCTGAAATAGGGTAGGGAAAAATCACAGAAATGGTCTGAAAGGGGGAAGGGTTTAGGAAAGCGTGCCGCACACCCCCACCCAATTTTTCCGGAAGTCCCCTTCCGGAATTTTTGGTCGTATTTAGGACACAAAAGAGAGGTTATTGTGCCAGGCGTTCCTTGCGGAGACCGTGGAAACTGGGACTACGAATCGCTGCGTGATCGAAGCCACGCATGTTTCGCGAAGAAAGCTTAGGAAAGATTAAATTTGGAGCTTTTTCTGAAACGTGTCGGCCCACGAATTCTATCGCTTGAAAGCGTTGATTACTTTGGAACAGGTGGCGATGGCTGGGTGTTGTAAACTTTCAAATGATCTTGTGATGAGCATGCGATTTATTTTAGGCGATGATTGAAATGACGTGCCATGTAAATCACTTTTTCGATATCTGGCAATGATGTAATTTCTCTGGAATCGAAGCCCTTAAATTTGCATGTATTTATACACGCGTATAGCCTGCTACCGCAGAGGACAGCACGCAACTTTATCGTTATAAGTCTATTTTGTTTTGAGAAATAAGATGAGGAAAATTGACATTTTTGAACAATATCAGTAGACCTGAAAGGAAGTTGATATTTTAGGCGGAACGTGAGCTCTGAGCTATCTTCTAAATTGCTGGCATTTAGAACGTCTACAGTTGAATTTAAGTTGCTATTCTTTCATTGTAACCCAACACATATCAACCAAAGAAACTAGAGGCATACCTATCAGACGGATATTCTGGTTTATTAATTAAACTCCCGAAAATATTTTACAGAGTGTTCAGAAAAAAAATGAAAACAACGTGGAAGGGGAGGAGTTTGGCCAGTTTGCTATAACACCCTCCCCCTAACACGAGCACATGATCACATAATCTCCTTAATCAACCTAATCGCTCGCCAAGGCACACGGTGTCTCAATGTTGGTTCATTCTTTATTTTATTATACAGTCTGTTGATATTTATTCTTTCGAGGACCGCTTCTCGTTTGTTGCTCTCTTCTTTCGTAGTCACCTGCGTTTGCCACCGTCTTTCTGCACGTCCACGGCGTTTGCCTCCGGAATGCACTCGTACCAAATTTTTAAATACCTGCAAACGTTGTCGCAAGTATCGTCATCGACGAAAATGTCAGAGGTTACCACCTCGGCGGCTTGCTGGTTTTTACATTGTCTATTGACTTTATAAAGGGTGTTTTCTGTTGTCTTCTCCTATAGTCTGTCTGATGTGAGCCCTGCAGGAATCTTGGAACACATAACAAGATCATCACGACCCCAGAATGCCTTTGTAACTTTGATGAGCTCGTATTGTTTGCACTGTACTCAGCCCTTTTCCACCTCCTTCACAAATAACAGTAAACTTCTGCAAGACAAAATAGAGCACCCTGATAAAAACCTGCATGGCCGCAACAAAACTTTTCGTATCACAAGTTAAATTGAATTGGTATAATTTATCCACAAAAATAAAAAAAATAGAAACAATTTACTTACAAAGCCTTTCCCACACCTATTTCATTCATAGTATCAGTTATATTTTCACGTCACGTCCAGGATATAAATATATTCAAAAGAAATAAAATTTATGAAACACGACCAAACCTTTTTAAGAATTAACTTCGGGCTTGGGTTTTAGACCCTAACCCTAACCCTAACCCTAACCCTAACCCTAACCCTAACCCTAACCCTAACCCTAACCCTAACCCTAACCCTAACCCTAACCCTAACCCTAACCCTAACCCTAACCCTAACCCTAACCCTAACCCTAACCCTAACCCTAACCCTAACCCTAACCCTAACCCTAACCCTAACCCTAACCCTAACCCTAACCCTAACCCTAACCCTAACCCTAACCCTAACCCTAACCCTAACCCTAACCCTAACCCTAACCCTAACCCTAACCCTAACCCTATCCTAACCCTAATTCCTAATTTTAATCCCTAATTCCTAACTTTAACCCCTAATTTTAATTCCTAATTTTATTTAATTTTATTTTTGTTTTATTAATTTTAATTTTAATTTTAATTTTAATTTTAATTTTATTTTAATCTTAATTTTATTTTATTCTTTGGTTTTAATTTTATTCTTTAATTTTAATCTCCTAATTTTAATTTTAACCCTAACTCCTAACCCTAACCCTAACCCTAACCCTAACCCTAAGGGGTTAGGGGTTAGGGGTTAGGGGTTAGGGGTTAGGGGTTAGGAGTTAGGGGTTAGGGGTTAGGGTTAGGGTTAGGGTTAGGGGTTAGGGTTAGGGTTAGGGTTAGGGTTAGGGTTAGGGTTAGGGGTTAGGGGCTAGGGTTAAGGTTATTGTCAGGGTCATGGTTAGGGGTTAGGATCAAGGTCAGGGTTAGTGTTTTAACGTTAGCTATGTTTTATTTTTTTGTTTAAGAAAACTAAATAATCGTGCCGCCTTTTCTGTCCATGGAAAGTTGACAGATAAAGCTAGAAAGCGGCTTATCATCCCTCTTAACTTGAGAACTTGACGATGAAATGAAGAAGTAAGAAGTGATTATTGATTTTTTACCACCATGGGTATATTTTTTTAATGGGAATTTTAATACAGCTGAACGATTTAGTAGAACAAATTTTAACGAAAGGAAAAATACTGAATTACTATACGCGAACTCAGAATTTCTTACCAGTAATGGATCATCGAATCGAATAAGAAACAAGCCAAAAATGGGGGAAAACTATACTTTTAAGATCTGTACAGCATCTCCGGATACAACAACTGATTTACTTGTAGGAACCAGTAAAACTTTTGTACTAAAGTGAAGTAGCAACAATAGACCTAATAACACTTGCGAAAATTGACACCAAGCAAATTAATAACGATTATGTAAGGCAAAGCCGAAATTAAAATTACAGAAAAAATACGCATATTTTAAATAAACTAGCAATGCATTGTTTCTTAGTTCTAAGCCTAATTAGTGTGTATCGTATAATAGCATTGTAGAGTTTCTGGAATATTTTATTTTCTGCAAATATCGTCTTTACTGCTATGTATCTACAGTATATGCATATGTATCTACAGTATATGCTATAACACTTAGCCCATGGGCATACAAACAATGTTATTACACAGTACATGCTGATTTCGCTTAGGGTCTGTTTACATGGAGGTTGGGGACCCCAGATAGGTGAGGTAACATGTGATGGGTCACCCCACCTATCATGTAAACGTGATCAAATTAAAATGAGAGATTATATGGACAGGCTGGTTACCCCACCTAAGCTAGCCGACGTGACATGGGGTTTTTCAGTTTGGCGTGCAAAGTAATAAAGGTGAGCGAGAGCAGAGAAACTGCGAGCTTTGCCGCTTGTTCGTGTGCGCTTCAAGCGCACTTTTGCGGCTTCACCACTCAGTAGTGCGTCCCACAAGACCACCATGCAACGCAGGCTACACCTAAGTGGGTTACATCACCAAACTGGGGTCCCCCACCTCCATGTAAACAGGCCCTTATTTGAAGAAACAG